AACGTGTGCAGACAGCTCAGGCGCATATGTCGTCAGCTGAACGCGCACATGTTGGTACGTTGGCGTTCTGTATTCACCGCAAAGATTCACCGTATGTATTTTGAGGTATGGTAAAGGGTCCGTACAAAGTAAATTCAGGTTCAAGAGAGACGGAGGGCAATACATTTGGCAGATAAAATGTGTATATTAATATGATTCAGGAGGTCTTCAATTCTGTTTTGTAGTTCATGTAACGTACATTGAAAGAGTAGGTAGTATTGGAAATTCGTTTTATTACATCATTGCCATAAAACATTGGAATTCCCTTCCTAAAGATGATTATTATTTAAAGGAATAGAAGTAAAAGGACAAATTTAAAATTAAAGGAATGTACCTAACACATATCACATGAGAGAAGCGAATGACAATATAATGGCCAAATAGCCTGGATACAGAACCCCGTACAGAACACCGTACAGAACACCTTTCTCTTCTCTGTCGGTTCATACAGTTTAATTGTGTTTATACTTATGTTTTTGTACGTTATATATAACGAATATAAATATAGAAATTCAACATGCAATAAGTCCTCCGATCTTCTTCCTTCTCCTCCTCCTCTTCTTTTTTTAATAGCTTCTTCCTCCTTCTCTTTTTCTTCTTCTTCCTTTAGTCTTCTTCTTATTCTTCGTGTCTTTATCTTCTTATTGTTCTGGTACTTTCTATCATTTCTATCATTATCAGTTTAATTTTGTTGTTATTATTATCTTTATTAGGCGGTGTCACACAGAAAAATCCCTTAAAAAATCCCTTGAAAAAATCCTTTCAAGGGAGAATTTCCTTGCTTTGTTAGAGGATTTTTGATGGGATAATTGGTGACAGAGAGCAATTAAAAGGATAACTCAAATCCGGATAACTAAAATCCGGGCACAGGGGGCACAAGCCCTCCGGTAAAACAAAAAAGGGAGAAGGGGTATAGGGGAAAGAAAAAGGGAGAAAATTAGCAAAAAGGAGGGGAATTAAAGAAAGAAAAGGGAAGAGAGAAAGAAGCAGAAAAGAGGGAGGAGAGAAAAGGGGAGAGGATAAAAAAGGAGGGAGGAGGGGAGAAAGGGGAAGAGAGAGAGAGAGAGAGAGAGGAGAGAAAAGGCGGAGAAGAAAAAAAGGGGGAAAGACGGAGAAGAGAAAAGGGGGTAAAGGAGAATAACGAGAAGGGAAAAGAAAGAAAGGGGGATGATATCATAAGAAGGTGTTAATATTTTTTACCGGGAAAGGGGGGGGGGGGCACGCAATTTTGCAGTGTGCATAATATGGGGTCCCTTATGTCAGGGGTATAGCCCCCCGCCCCCCCCCCCCCCAAAAAAAAAAAAAAAACGACAAGAAGAAAAACAACAAAAAAGGATGGAAAAAAGAGGAACAGAGAGAATTTTTGTGAGTTAAAGGACAAAGGAAAACAAATGAAAGACAATTAAACAACGATAGAAGAGAGGTGCGAGAGCATGAGGAATTGCATTTATTTAAAAAGGATTATGGGATAACAACCAGGGCCATCGCTAAAGGGGGTGTGGGTTGCGACACCCCCCATCATGTCAGGATATTGTCGGTAAAATTGCGCTGCTGTTGGGGAAAATGAGAAAAGGGGAAGGGGAAAAATGAGAAGGAAAGGGAAAGAAAAGAAAAAATGAAAAGGACAAGAAAGGAAAAAAAGGAAAGAGAAGAGAAGAAAGAAAGAGAAAAAAGAAAAAGAGGAAAGAGAGTTAAGAAAGGAAAAGAAAGGAAAAAATAGAAAAGGAGAAAAGGGGAAAAAAAGAGAAAAAGGAAACAAAAGAAACGGAGGATGAAACAGAGGAGAGAGAGAGGGGGACGAGCCTGAGAGAAGAGAGGTGGGAGTAAGAGAGAGAGGGGGATGTAGGTTGGAGTCACCACTTCGAGGGGGCAAGAAATCTAGATTACGCATAGAATCATTATGTTGCTGTGTCGGGTCCGCTGTTTTAGTATTCTTGCACAATCCTCGTGCACTATATCAATGCAGACGTTTGAAGTCGGTGAGAGGATTATGTCGGTCGGCCCGCAATTTTTTTCTCCCTATACGAACTGGTACTTTTTATCGGACAAAGAAACATTTTTGAGAATTCATGAAAAATTAATGATTAAGAGTCGGTTTAACGAATCGTCTTCTTTCTCTAATAATTTGATGAAACGTCAGAGCTTCTGCGCTTCGCGTGGGAGGGGGGGGGGGAGAACTGAATTCAGACAAGGATTAACTGAGACGAGAACAGTACAACAAATCGTCTTCTTTTTCTAATAATTTAATGAAACGTCAAAGCCTCCGCGCTTCGAGCGGGATCGGCGAAAATGAATTCAGACAAGGATTAAGAGTAATAATGAAATAAAACGACAAAGCTTCCGCGCTTCGCGTGGGAGGGGGAAAACTGAATCCAGACAAAGACACGATACAATAAATCGTCTTTTTTCTCTAATAATTTTAATGAAAAGCGAAACGAGAATTAAGAGTCGGGAACGGTACAACGAATCGTCTTCTTTCTCCAATAATTTAATTAAGTGTCAAAGCGGTGGCCTGTACACCCCCCCCCCCCCCCTCACTGAAAAAGCGACGCCCCTGATAACAACACTGTTTATACACTCGAGTTAATTTTGCAAACTTGTACTATACTGGTGGAGTACCAGACCACCGTCTTTGTGCATTGTGCAGCAATGAAGCATACACAATGCGTACGTCTCGCGACGTGACAGATCACTTTGCTCTAACTTTTAACCAATCAGAAGGCCTCGTTTTTTCAAGGACGTGTAGGTGGACATTAATGCGCCAAATGTGGTTCTCAATTTGCAAAAGATCCCTATTCTAAGAGAGGGTTCTAACCTTCTCCCAGACTTACCCCGCTTGGTCACTCCGCTCCCTCGTCGCTGACGCCTTGCTCTGTCGCTCCATCGTTTTTCATATATTTCACCCCATGCGATTTTGTGCCCCCCCCCCCGGTAATAAATCCCTGGATTTAATGGGGAAGTCCACCCTAATAATTAGCTGCAATAGCTGGTACAATGTATTAATAACAACAGGAAACAAGCTATAGGAGAAAATGTATTAAAATTAAAGCCATATTAGATTAAGTTAAATTACGACTTCATAGGCCTAAAGTTAGTTGTCACCAATATGTTTTATGATCTTTATTTCAACAGTTTATAACTTTTTTCTTTTTTCATAGGATTTGCTTCTTTCATTTCTACTTCTATTAAATTAACTTAATCAGGGTAGACTTGCTCTTTCAGCACAATCTCATAAGATATGTCACTTATGAGATAATGCACACGAGAGGAAGCTATGAGAAATGTAGTGTTTCGGATGAGGGACGATGGATGATAAAAATACCTTGTCATAGGTAATGGATGACATATTTTTGAACAAAAAGCAATTGACTATAGCTTTGTAATGGTATTTTATATAGAGTTCATTGGGCGTGGGGTTTAAAAGACAATAGGTTGGAAGAGTGACTCTTTTAGAGTAGAATATATCGCGGTTACCGTAGTTTATTATTAAATGGGCAAAAGTTTAGTGTAAAAACTAATAGCTGCTCCTATTCTTTGAGACTATATATGACCGCGAGAAAGGACACACTAACATTTGCAGGTAAAAAGGCGGCATTTATGAAAGGACAGTTTTATAATATGGAAACTGGACACTTAGCAAAATTGACAAGGGAAAATTATCATATATGAAAAGGGCATTTATAAGAAAGGAAAAGGGGCACTGTGTCAAAGTAAAAGGGGCACCTATTAGATTTAGATAGGTGTTTATCAGAGGTATAATGGGGCATTTACAAGAAAGGGGAAGGTGCACTTACAAAAGGAAAAGAGACACTTATCAGAAGAGAAATAACACTAATTAGAAAGGGCAAGGGTCACAGGAAAAGGGAAATCTTTTCAGAGGTGAAAAGGGGTACTTCCCGCATCTGAAAGCTAGGGGCATCGATCAGTGGTGGAAAGGGGCACTTATGAGAAGGGGAATGGGCACTTATTAAAAGAAAATGCATTTAACTGAGGTTAAAAAGGGGGCACTTTTCGAGGTAAAAATGAAGGGCAATTTGAGGGGTGGTGCACTGTGCACCTCCTTGCCCTCCCTGGAGCGCTGCCTCTGCATACGAAATACACCAAAAAATACAGAAAGTAAAAGCTAGGGCTGTCAGCCAAGAGATTTCCCTTTTACACTCGTATTCCGCTATAGCCTGCCTCTTTGACAAGACATCCACAATATACTTCAAGAAATTAAGTCATGAAAACAGGATAATGTACGGATCAAAAGGGAAGTATAAAGAACATCAATATGTGATGATAATTATATCAATGTTTTTGTAGGCGCCTCCTCCTTCCCCCAAGTGCCCTTTCTAAAAGCGGCAAAAGAGATTCTTCGAGCTGAGAGTCAGAGAAGAGAAGCGAATGACATGTTTTATGATTGAAATTTGTATTCTTCTGCCAGTAGAAATTCTACAAATTCATCATTATTTCCTCTTCCTCCTCCTCCTCCTCCTCCTCCTCCTCCTCCTCCTCCTCCTCCTCCTCCTCCTTTTCTTCTTCTCCTTCTTCTTTTTCTTCGTGTACTTATTATCATTTCTATCATCAGTTTAATGTTGTTATTATTATTATTATCTTTAATATTTTTTTCTTTTTTTCTTCTCTTCTTTTTGTATCTGTCTGTAAATATTACTATTTTAACTTATTTATTTTGTACATGTTTGTAGGGGACCCCTCTGGAAATAAGCTCTCGAGCTTTCATGGGTTAATTATCCTGTTCAAGCTGACTTAATTTTGATCTGTTATTCGTATATATTGTTGTAGGTTGGAAGCTTGGCAAATAAAAATCAATCAATCAGTCAATCAAACCACAGAACTAGGAAATATGTAAAGGCGCAGCCTGTATATTGATTGAACGCACGAATGCCTATCCCTCTAGAGTCCTGTAAAAAAAAGTACGGTATAGCGAAAGTGCGAAACTAAAAAAAAAAACACCTAAGGAACACACTAGCGCTACATACAGGCTACAGCACTACATTTTCAACCTCAAGTCAAACTTCGAAGCCGAATAGTTTCACCTCTTTTGTCACATACCGTAAGTAATTTTGATCAGTTTAGTTAGTATTTAATCATAGATGATTAGTTACCGGTAAATTAGGGCAATACTTTAAAGTCGAATGTTCTCTTGTATTTTGAAATTGTGATTGTGTTCGTCCAAATCCAAGCCGGATAATGCGGATCCCACTCTATTATCACAGAGTTGCAACGCCAGGACGGTGGCGCGCGGTGCGTCTGCGTTTTCGGACACGGGTGATGATGCTCGGCTGGTTACAGCATAGTCGACCTTTCGTTAACCTCTGGGGGCCGTTTCATGAAACCAACTCCATGACAGTCATATTTTTGTCAGCGACCTACGGAGATGTCATGAAGTGGATAAACCGTTTCACAAAGCCATGACAGACTAGACCGAAAGCTTTAGTCTAGTAGATGATATCGACGGTGGTTCCGCTGAGATTGCATCTGGGTCCACTGACCGCCTCTTTACGTAGACTGTACTAGTGGATCAAATGGTTCGGTTCGGCAGGACCGCGATGAATGAGATATACAACGAGATTTTCACTCTTTACATCCTAATAAATGCACTGTTGCTGCAATATTACATTAGGCTAATAAAAATATAAAAAATAACAAACAAATATGGCTTTGACTTAGACCTAGACCTACGATAGCTAGACCGAAAGCTTCAGTCTCTATACCGTCGGTTGTTCCACTGAGACTACGTCTGGCTCCACTAGACCTCCGGTTATAGAGACAGAACGATCGCCTATGCCAGCCTATGTTGAAGATATCACGGCTAGATTTTAGCCGTTAGGCCCCTCCCACAAACATGAACAAACTTGCCACGGCCGTATTGTTATGCCCCCAAAATCCCCCAAAATGTCATTTTACCTCGTGCATATCCAATTTTACATTAGGCCTAGGCTATAATACATCGGTTCCACTTACTAACTTGATTGAAATAATCCGTTTAATGGTCCCTTTTAAGGAAATTATGGGTCAAAATCAACATCCATGTTGAAAATCTTGCAAGCCGTGTTAAACTCTCGCTGCCGTCAATCTCATCCCTTCTAGTCTACGCCGAAGGCAAAATGATTATGAAGGATAAACTGTGCGCCATCTACACGTTCGTAATGGCGTTATCACAGTTTTTCCTTCATAATCATAAAATGATAGTGAAACTAATCGTACATTTCGCGGCCCATGGAATAGCAACAAACTGACTTGTGGTGGCGCTTTACAGCATTAAAAAAAGATATGACAGGTTCGGAGCAGTGACAACTCGCTTGTCGCGGAAGTTGTCTCTCATCTTGGAAAAGACGGCTTTGTGAAACACTTAGCTGACAAGTTGCGTGACAGTGGCGAGATGTCGTTGATCTTGTAGTTATGACGGTTTCGAGAAACGGCACCCTGCCCACTCCAGCAAAGCATAGAGTTGAGAGTCAATGCTAATGCGTATTGACCTCTACTCTCTAGCGCTGCGAATAGCGATTGGTTAAGTGTAAAAAAAGGTTCATGTGAGGAGTATTGATGAATGTTGCTCAATCCCCAGGCGTCCCACTTTGTGCATTGTACTTGTAGAATAATCAATGACAATGCCAAAGTGATGGAGGTGCTCTATGAATACCTTTAGTCTGCCCTCCCCTCTTGAGAGTAATACATGTACTTCTACCTGTGTATCAGAGAATGTGCCGTTCATGATAAAATGAATAATGATTACACAACTTTCATGAGCACAAATCCAGGACCGTATTTGTCTTTATGGGTTTTACAATTCTAGTACAAATGACCTCTTTCTGCTGCCCATGTGCCAATGATTTCATCTTGAAATGGCCTCTTGCAGGGTCCTCAGGAATAAGAGCATTGATGCTGCTGAGGCTTCCCTTGGTAAACAATTTTTTGGTTATTATCTATTATGATTATTATGATCTATTTTCATCTTGTTTTCTGTTTCATTGGTTCCATTGTAGGAGAGCGTTAGATCATAAACCATGTCGCTTGTCCAATCAAGGGAGAAGAGAGCCAATGCCGGCAGCAAGATGCACAGACTCCTGGCAGAAGAACAGGAAGATGAATTCTACACAACTACTTATGGAGGATTCCAGGATGTGAGATAACCTAGTTGTTTTTTGTAAACGTTACAGTAAATCTAACTTTACCTTTTTTGTTTGTCGCTAATTGACCTTTTATTGGGTAGAACTTTGTACATGATGATTTGCCTTATGCTGACTACCCTATTTAGTCCAAGTTTAAGTTAAGTGTGTAATGAATATATTGATTGTTTTGCTGTTATGTTAATAATTAAAAATTAGTCATCCATATGAAATATGAATTTCAATTCACTAGTATATTTTGTTACATAACCAAACTAATTTGTACAGAGTAAAGAAGTTGACACTTGGGGCTTCATAAAGCAGTTCAGTATAAGTTTAACCAGGTTTAAGCCAGGCTGAAGTTAGTCTGCCTCTCTAAGTACAACTTTTTTTTACTATACAGTAATGTCCATTGCTATTTCATCAATTTTGTCATTAAATTATTGTGGCAAGCAGAGAAGTAGGTCAACAACAATTATTCCAAGGTTAGGTATGAATAGTGAAGAATGACATATATTTTGTGTGATTGCTTGTGATTGCAGGAATCTGGTGATGACGAGTATTCCAGTGAGGAGAGTGATGCGGACTCCTCATCAGATAGTGATATCGATGCTCCAGAAGATGATGAACCAATCAGTGGCAGTGATGATGAGGGAACAAAGAGGAAACGCAGAGTGATGACTAAATCCTACAAGGTAAGATTCCTGTGGGATCGGGCTAGGTTAACTTCTCTTGTATGTCGTCATCTGACTAACCTGAATTCCCCTTTCTTTAGTGTAATATCAATTTATACTTATGTGCCTTTCATCTTGTCATTTCTCCTGTAAGATGTGTGTTCACTATTTTCATGTTGATCGATGAACAGAAATTAGAAAGAGTCTTGGAAGTAACTCATTATGCAACTTTGCTGAAGGTAGAATTTAGTTTTAGAATGCCAAAATATCCGTCTTTCTCTCTCTCTTCATCGTCATGTGTAATTTATCTATTGGCTGTCTATGTACACCCCTTGTCTTTCTCTCTGTTCTTTATTGTGCATAATCTGTATAGAATGTTTTGTGCCTCCCATTAAATAGCACTCCCCATATTTAACCGATTTCTGACAGGAACCTGCCATCAAACCTGCCAGCAAACCTGCCTTGAAGAAATCTCCTACAAGTCACATCCCTAGAGAAAAGAAAGAGAAAAGTACTACTGGTACACCAAGCGTTAAAAAGCGGAAACATAGTTCCAAGGATGATAGTTCAGGTTTGATTTGATTTGATTGATTTGATTGATTTATTTCTGTTTGATTTTCTTTTTCTTTTGTATTTTTACAAATATATAACAAACAAACCATTGCAAATTTTACACATTTCAAAAGAATATAATGTTGAATAAAGTAAGGCTGGCTGTAACTAACCGTGTCATGTAAAGAGCTATCTAGCCTTGTAGCAAGTTGAGTTGTGTGAAAAGGGTTTATCTAAAGGGACTATTTGCAGCCAACATCAAATTCTGTATAACTTTGCAGGAATTATGAATACGTCATGTATGTCATATCTGTGAAATTTAAACGTTGGCAGTGTCCTAGTATTCAAATTATGCAAGGAAACCTGTTTACTTCCTAGGCTTCCCTGTCAGACACTATTGAGGGACAGACTGACTTCATTTTTTCTTTGGTAATAGTCCGGCAGCCATCTCGATATACCTTGTTTTAGGGTCTATAGTTTTTTTTTCTTCGGATTATAGTCCTTTAGACCATCAATTTGAAGAATTCGATTGCTGACACTCTGTCAGCATTGAGCAATTTGAGATATGTGACGTCATACAAAATGGCCGCCAAAATCCCCTTTTTAACCAAAATTAATGATATAAAAAGTTTTAACAGCATTTTACTACATTAAATGGCAGTCAAATATCTTGATTTTTTTCTAGAATCATCACTAAATAAAAATTGCGATGCTGTATGATCACAAATGATATGCAAATTTGCATAATTCGGAATGGCGCCCTCTATAGACACATTAACTTGCATAGGTCAAAATGATGGCCAAATACCAATTTCTAACATGAGATTATCATATGGCATGAGTCAGATGCACTGGATACAGTGAGTAAAGATTGTGCTGCACATTTATTTTTATTTTGTAATTTGATACTCGAAGAAAACACGGTTGAATTTTATGCTCTCTGTCCCATAGATATGAGGTGGCATATGGTGATAAATGCCCATTTTCAGTGACAGCGTTAAGAAACTAGATTTGTATTCTAAGGTACTAGATTCTTTTAAATTAACCTAAAAATTACGAACTACCACTACGATACAGGACTATATCCGTTTATAAGTTTGCTTCAAAATCTTGAAATTTGTTTAAAAGCCCTTTAAAGTGTTGGGAACCCTAAAATATTCCATGCGGAAGAGGGTGTCATTTAACACTTAATTCTGCAAAGTAAGGTCGTGACTGTAATGCGTGCTTCCACACGCATGTTTGCAAATGAGTTCTCTTAACATTTTCTACAAACGCTTCAGTAGTTTGAGGTAGTGAGGCAAGGTTTGGGGGTATTTGGAGCTCCTAGTCTTCGGACCCTTGATAGCCACACGTTGATATACGAGCCTCTGACATTCAGTTGGTTGTTGACTGTCCATAACCTGAAGCAAAGCATTGAGTAGGTTGAGTGATGACATATGACCATACTGCATCAACATTGCCAACTCAGTCCTAAGGGAGTCGAATCTTCTGCTTCATCACTTTCAGCATTGTACCCTATCCAATGCCAAAGTATGCCCCAAGAGTGTCGCATCCCGTCAACGCATGTCCTGCCAACATCGATGGAATGATATCTCCTAACTTGTCTACATTGGCAGGAACATCAATAACAGTTCGATTTGTGAAGGGGCGTCTCCATGTTCATTGGCGTTTTATAAGTCCGTCATGTAGATAATGATGCAAAAGTAGTACGTAGACGTCTGTGTCATCCACTAGGACCCTAACATACATCTTCTCATTAGCATCAATTCCAATCGCTTGCTGTTCTTTGATGTTGCCTGCTTCATCATAACTATGTTGTGGACAGACCTTTCCTTGGCATGACATCACTGACTAGAATCACTTCAACAAGAACCTCATCTTGACGGTAAAGGCCTGCTTGTGCTTTTGCCTATTTCTGAGCACCCAATCATCCTGCAGACTCGCGCATATAATTATGATGTCGATCAACTGTAGTTTGTTGTCATGAAAAGATAGTGAAGTTAGCAACACTAGAGACACGTTTCAACAACTTCTCTCCCTAGCTTTATTGATCTTTCCAAAGCTTTTGACTGCGTACAACATAAACGCCTATGGAAGATTATGAGCTAGATGGGCTTTCCAGCACATATAATTCAACTCATCCAGTCGCTCTACCAATACCAAGAAGCAACAGTAAGAGCAGAGAATGGCGACACCGAAAGGTTTACTATTGGTCAAGTTGTCCGTCAAGGCTGCAACCTATCATCATAAATTTTCAACATCTATGCTGAATTCATCATGAGAAAGGCATTTTATGGTCAAGTTTCTGTTGGTGGACGAACGATCACCAACCTAAGATACGCCGACAATACAACACTCTCTGGCGTATTAATGGGGAAGGGTATGGGGGGGGGGGGGACAGTTGAACCCCCAAACAAAATTCAAACTGTTTTTTGTTTATATATTCGATACCAGTGATTTACAAATGTTGCTGAAATGACATGATTTTCCTGGGTTTTTTCTCACTTTTTAGTAAATTATTATTTGTTAAGCGTATGTTGGAAAATGACAAATCCTAAATCCACAGTCAAGCAAAAAATATGCTTATTTAAAAGCCTACATGTCAGGGTCCGCAGAACAGCGGGGCTCAGGGGACTCGAGCCTTCCTCACTTTTTGTATAAAGTATGTTAAAGAGAACTAGAAAGAAAGAAAGAAAGTGACCAGAGGTGAAATGAGGTATCAAAATATGTTCATCTTACAGTTAATAAATGCCTGAAACCCTTGAGCTTCCGGGGGCTGTGTCCCTTGAACACCACGCCAATTTGCGCTCCTCTCTTCCTGATCGTAAATACTTCAACCCCCCCCCCCCACCCCGCTTTAAAAAAAAGTTCCGCAGGGCCTGCATGTAACATGTAAGAGTGGTGGTGATGCAGATTGTTTTTCTGCCCCTCTAAGTGTTTTTGCTCAGTATTCCACTAACAACACTTATAACAAGAACATCAGAAGAACTACTAGAACTCCTTAAAAAAGAGTGAAGGATGCAAGTGAATAATTTGGACCCTACCTCAATGTGAAAAAGACCAAGATCATGATTGGTGGAAATTAACTACATGCAACAGAGCATGGTGGTTGATTGAGAAGAAGTTGATCAAGTGGACAAGTTTATATAATGTTCTTGGGTCAATGATTGTCAAGGAGGGTGGAAGCTCGGCAATATCTGCCTTTGAAATGTGGTGTTGGAGGAAGCTACTTGGGATATCATGAAGAGATTACAACACCAATGGACACAATTAATGTCCATCATCGGAGATCAACCGCCACTTGCTACCAGGATTGACAAGTACAAGCTACAATAGTTTAGTCACGTTAGCAGAAGATCAGGAGACAACCTTGACAAATTATCATTCAAGGTACCTTTGAAGAAACACGTAACAAAGGAAGACTCAAGCTCAGATGGACTGACGACCTTAGGGAAATCACTAGCCACCCTCTAAATACTAAAGACACTCTACCGGATTGCAGGAGACAGATGCCGATCAAAAGGTCTCATCAAACGGGTCACAAGGGTGAGCCATGATCTATATGACAACGACGACGACGACGAACAGTAAGAGATAGTTTCTTGGAGGGCAGCAGTGACGCGGGACTGAGTTGGAAGACTCTCGACCCGTTATGACCTCTAAATACTCTCGGATCTGTCAAACACCAAGCAAACATCATCAGATTTTCATCCACAGCAGAGCACAACCATCAATGACTGTACAAGGTTGTTCCAGTGTCTGATGCCTGGCTGACATCTCAACTTTTGTCAAATTCTATAAGTCCGTCTTTGACATGGGAGTGCTCGTTTCCAAAATCATCAAAAAGTGATGTTGGGACTGGTGAAAGCTCTTATGACAAAATGTCCTTGACATTGGCCTCTCTTGAACTTGTCTGCAGTCCTATTACTCTGGAGTAGATCAACTTTTCATAGACTTTCGTACCCCAACATTGACTTCTTCATGGCTGCCACGGTTTGAACATTCTTGGAAATTGTGACATAGAATCCACCAGGTAATTTCTTTTGAAAATCATGCATCTGTCTAGTATAGATGTCAACTGCTTTATCCACATTCACTGACGTTGGAGCAATGCTGGTCTAAATAAAGCCTATTAATTGAATAATAATGTGTGCCGTTAAACCACTTCTCACCGATTTGTTGAAAAATAAATTCTTTCATAGCCATTTTTTCTTGACATATGTAGGGTAGGTGTAGGGAATTGGAGACCACCAAGCTTGAACCCATCACTGTCTGTCCGTGTTGGCTCCAATATTGATATAGCGACATATGTGGCCTTCAACAACACTACTGCATATATCCAATTCATTTCGAAGACTACAGTGCGTTCTCTCTACGAGAAAATTGGCAAAATTGACCAAGATAAGCAATTTTGATCGTAAAATTTTGCTCTGATATAAAAACACGATTTTCACTGAATGTTGTGGTGTATGCAGATATTTAGGGGTGGCTCTTAAAAAAAATAGTTTTAAAAGGAAGTTTATGAAATGTGCCAACCATCACAGAAAGCTTATGGCCATTGTGTGTTGTGAATGGGTGTTGTAATTCACATTATGAATGGTGTCTGATCAGAAATGTGTCACCATTCTAATTTGAATGCATTTAATTTTAAGAAGTTGTTTCTATGCTGTGAGTTTGATAAATGTAAAAGTCATATTGCCAGAACATTATTCTGAAAGTATTTTAACATATTTGAGAGCACCTTTATTACTGTAAACAAAAAACTACAGAAATATTTTGGGCCCCATTGTTTTAAAATCGTTTCAAAATTACAGTAAGTTCATTGGCTGCATGTATATCTTTCAAAAAGTGTTTGAACTAACTATAACAATCCCATTTTCATTCAAATTGTATTTAAAATGTCTTGAATTGTAACTGTCCCTTATTACCTACACATGTAGGTAATGAGAGACCTTTGGTGATGACGTCATTAATCATTGTTATCTTATTAATCAGTTACATCATCACCACAATTTCGTTACCAAATAAAGAGAAAAAATACTAAAGAGAATACAAAAATGTCTGTATGTGTAACATTGTTCATGTTTATGTAAATTATGCAAATCTGCTAAAGGGTCTTCCATTCCCCACACCTACCCTATCTAAATTTGTACCAAACACGATGAAAGATTAATGCAGCACAACTGCAATTGTTTCCCCCAAAAAGCATTTAATATGATTTCAACGTGACATAGATTTAAGAAATTGGCATTTGGCTGGCACACATATTTTATTCAAATTAATGTGTTTATAGAGGGCGCTATTTCAAAATATGCAAATAAGCTGGTCATCTCTAGCCATGCAACACCACGAAACATATTTTTAGTGATGGTCGTAGAGAGATACAGACATTTGGCTGCCAAAAATTGTAGAAAAAATCCTTATTATATATTTATTATTCATTTTTAAAGGAAAATCATGTACTTTGGCGGCCATTTTGTATGACGTCATATATCTTAAATTGCTCAAGGCTGACAGAGTGTCAGCAATCGGATTCTTGAAATAGAAGGTCTAATCAATCAAAATCCATTGAAAAAAAAACTATAGACCATAAAACAAGGTTAGGCCAATAATCTTGATTTGGCTGCCGGACTATAATAAGATACATAAAATGAGCTGTAAAGGGTACATGAGCATTTGTCTACATCAATAACCCACTTCTTGTAATGGCCAAAATTAAACTGACTGAATCTTTGCGCAGCACAAAACTTACACCATTTGGTACGAGGGTCTGAAAATTAGACTATTTTACGAAAAGGATTGCAATCCCTAAATTCGATCCTACAACGAAAGGTCGTTTTTTCCCCACAAAAAGACATTTTCAAGCCTTTACGTATTGAGGGAAGTTTTAAATTAGTATTATCTTTCAAATGCTGGTGGAATTTAACCTTTTCATTTTTTGGGCCTGCAAACGGGACATAAGTGGTATGCAAGTTAGGAATGTAATTAACCAAATGCATACAAATCTAAAATTTAACAAATAATTGGGCTTTTGACTGTGATGTGCGATGTGATAACTCTCCCATTTGTTGTACATGTACACTACACTACTATCTTAAACTTCCAGTTTTCTTTGGGCTGTACTCAAGATAGATTATGGATGATATCCAGCTCTGCCATCAAATCTTGAAAAATTGCATTTACTGGTAGTCATTTTGTATGGAGGAGCAAATATGCGAGTTCTCTAGTCACTACAAGTGAACATACTGTAGAGCATGTGCATTTGTTTAAAGAAATATCTAACATCAGTAGCATAGCGATTCGCAAGTGGGGAGATGGTGTTGATGAATAGATTATCTCCACTATTTACAATAGATAATTCTGCATGTCTGCACTACTATCTTTAGTAATCAAGCCTATTATATTTTGCAAATATTGCATGCTCTGGCATTTCAATGTAACAAAACATATTAACTGACAAATTCAAAATTTCCCGAGTGATTTCTATATTTCACTGAGGCTGCAAAGGGCAATTCCACGATAACGGAAGGACACTCAGACAAGATTTTTGAACTTCAGGTTCATACTAAAAGAAATGTTTTATTAGTATGTATTAAACTATGGGGAACAAAATGTGTTTCAGTCAAGAGGAAAGCTTCATCAACTTCACAAAGTTTGGATAAACACTAATTAACTGGAAAAACCATGTCCATTTTTTTGTCCTTCCGTTACCGAGATAATTAATATGCACATTCTTAAACTACTTAACTATAATGACAATTTTTTGGGGGAGAATTAAAGGCACTTATATAGGTATTATATCTGTACTGTTTCACATCTTATACTAATAAAACAGTTCTTTTAGTATGAACCTGAAGTTCAAAAATCTTGTCTGAGTGTCCTTCCGTTACCGTGGAATTGCCCCAAACCAAGGTTGAGATATGATAGCACGAGGGAAATCCTTAATTTTGAGGTGAATATATGAAATTCATTAAATATGTATCATATAAGACGTAGGATATTTGCGATCCTTTGGAGTCGGGCCTTCTTGATTAGATTCAGGTTGTCTTGCGTCAGATGTGGGCAGCTATTAGATAATGCAAATGACAGATATGTGCAGTCTAATTCACATTTGCATGTATTTTACTCTACAAAAGAGGTTGTTATATTGCACGCTTGCTTGTGCACATATAACAAAATGAAGAGTGTTAAGTGACATCTTTTCAGCCAATAGGACACTCGCTAACAAATACCCTTTATAATCTATTCTTTTATGTTCTGTCTATCACTCAGTTCGTAAGTCCAGCAGACGTTCAACCATACAGCGGGTGAATGAGTTTGAGATACGGATCAAGGAACGTGAAACCAAGGCTCAGATTTCCAAGCAACAGAAGACTAAGAGGAAGGTTCCAGAGATGAGGAGACTCACTCAAGAGGAACTACTTGTGGAGGCTAAGATCACCGAGAAGAAAAATCTTCACTCGCTCTGTAAGTGCCAAAAGATTCTATTTAAACTAACTTTGGACTGATCAGTCAGTTATATCTCTGTGCGTTGTCGAAAACAAAAGGCCTTTTTGGAACCAAAGCTCCTTAGCTTTGCCCCATTAATGACAAGTGGTCAGTGGTCGTTTCTGTGTGTTTGTTTTGTTTGTTTTGTTTTATTCTGCACACATGAATGATATTTTATGCAATACAAGAATTGTTACTCTGAGTACTGGTAAGTGAACACTTTGACAACTAAATGGTGCATGTTTGTATGAACCATATAGATTAAGAGACAATTCATATTATAGGTTTATGTTGAGAACTTCATACAACATTTTCTATTCAAGACTTGTAGTATTTTCTTGTTAAGACTACTTTGAATACTCATGGGAAATGAAACGAATCTAAATCTTGCCAATCTTTACAATAAATACAATACCCAACCATTGATTGATTGATTGACTTGAGTGAGTATTAAAGCATGAGCCGCCTCATAGTTTGCTACTTTTTCAATTTCAGAATACTTCATGGATCGTTATGATATGTCCAGGATAGTTTATTTCATTTATCTTTTGTAATACCCACTAGCATATCAATGTTGGCAATATTTTTTCATTTGGAGTTGATGTCAATTAGCTACTTCTTTCCAATATTGAGATATATATTGTATTCCTAATGCAGATGGTTACTTTTATATGGGAGGAACTGTCAAATGACTGTTATTTCATAGTTATACTCTATAAAATTTAGTGCTGTAGCCGAACCGCCGAACTGAACGGAAGTTCGCCGAACATGGCACTTCCGAACCGAACGCAAAGGCCTGGTTGGGATGTTCGGCAGAAAAATGTAAACGCTAATAAACTTGTCATTTTGTACTTAATTTTCATGTTATGATTGCTCATTTTATATTTACTTTTTCCCGTTTTCCACCTTTGTGATTTATGCCTGCGACTACACTGGCGCCATTTAAATCCCAAATCCTGACCTCTGCTACATTGCGATCGCAAGCCATAAACATGTGCGTGATAGGCGCTGATCAAAACAAGTTCAGCTCAAACCCCTTCAACAAAGAAAAAATTGATATTTTAATTGTAACAATATTGGACAAATTGTACAATATAAATAATGAAATAAATATATATTATAGTATAGTATTTATTTATTCAGGAAAAATAGGGATTTTATATTTTTCCTATTGAAAATAAACACTTGTAAAAAACAGTAATCGACGAGCCTGAGTCGCTATTCAAGATGGCATCTTTCATGACTCTAACAATAGAAAACAACCGTCTCAGAAAATCTTTAAAAAATATATTTTTTTGACAAATTGAAAACATGATTCTTTTAAAATTGAAAATAAAACACAATTCAAGACGGAAATACGAAATAGTAATTTTCTTCACAAATAATTACGTTTAGAGCAGTTTTTTAATGTGAAATTCGTGCTGGTCGGAAGCAGTGTTGTTCATCAGGAGTGGGCAGAGGTCCTCCGTGCTGGTCGGGCCCGGCCGGCCAGCCCGCCCAGTGCCGAGTGCCGTGGCTATAACGCTGCTTGCTATTATATTACCAAACCCCGAACCGAACCAAGTTCGGGTGAAAAATTGCCGAACTCTGCCGAACCAAACTGAACACGAACATAGCGTCTGACTTACAGCACTAATAAAATTGCTGTTGGCAAAATCACCACATTTCCATATTTGGTGTAAAGAGGAGTAACATCTTTCAATTTGGGTATTAAAAGGATAGTTGAGTTCTTGTTTCAGACCGCAAACGCCTTCAAAGTGCATGGTTATTGCTCTTATTCTTATTTATGACATTTCTAGTGCTCTTTTAGGACCTAAAATTGCTATGAAGGTAATCTTAGACTCCAAAACGTATGAAATTTAGCCAATATGATCATACCAATTCAGCTCCACTTTCAAACAACTATGGTGACCGTTGATAAATTAATTAATTAATACTAACAATACATGGGCCGGCTGGTTGTGCGTATTATAACCAACTCGAAAAAGCCAACAAAAAGCCAAAATCGGCATTGGCTGGAATAAAATGTATAAGGCACTATCTTGTTTTTCAACGGCTGGTTCAAATTATCGAATATTTGTGGGGCACCACAAATATTAGAAATCATTTATGGATATTTCAGCCGTCTCTGAACTGATATCGATCAAACAAAGATGATTTTGTCATTTAAATTGTATGTCCTTTCAAATTTGACACTCAGTTTTTTATTATCTCATAAAAAAATTATTTTGTGTAGTGCCCTGTGCAACATCACTCAACTATCCCTTTAAGTGTATTAAACAGCAGATTGTCCAGGTTTATTGACACGGAAGCTAGGTAGTTACAGTTTTGATCTATTCTGTTTTGTAGACCTATTCCAGCAGCTACAAGAAGAGAAAAAGAAGACCAAGGTGTTCAAGAAGGCATTTATGGGACCGTTCATTCGCTTTCATTCCACATCAATGCCAGTTGAACCCAAGATACAGGAAGTAGATGTCAACGTAGAAAAGGTGGAACAGTCACAATCAGGGTATGTACATGTTACTTCAATACATTTCACAAACTGATTTCTCTATTTTATTTTGCACATGGCTGGTGGTCTTTATGTGAAATGTAACAAATTTGTTATTTCATTTATCATTGCTTTCAACTACCCTAATGCTAAATCAACATGCATAACCAACAGGGATGCCAGTTTTCAGGCAATAAGCCTGAATTCAGGCCCTGGCAAGTTATTTTCATACCATAGTTTAGGTTTTTTTGTGAACAAACTAGCTCATTCTAGGTGATTTTCATACCCTCTGATCAATTCTAACTGGCATCCCTCAAACAGTATTTATTCAAACATTTTACCCAATTTGGTAGCTTCAAGAGGACATACACATTTTTTGTGACCTTGAAACATTCTGTTCTATGTAATTTCTGCAGGTCAACACATCCAGCCACAAGAGGAAAGACAAAGTCAGGTGAAAAGTGCTGTAGGAACTTCATAATGTACAGCGAGCCACAGATGTTCAAGGATAGTTTCCCTCGTGGTCGAAAGAGGGCTCCCCCTAAGCAGCTGTGCCCTATCACGCGGTACCCTGCCCGATATGTTGATCCCGTCACAGGGATTGCCTTTGCCACGAAGCAGGCATTCAAGATTATACGAGAGACATATGCTTCTGAGATAGAGGCGGCCATGTCTGGAGAGACCAAACATAGGAAGTCTAAAGGTTCAACCAGTTCTAAAGAGGAAGGATCATGAAGAGACATGAAGGTCTCATGTTCGTAGACATTACATTGACATATTGGCTGCCGTACAGACATTAGCAGTACATCGTCTACCATGTCTACCTGTGGTGGGATACCCGATGTACATTACCGCATTGTGCCAGGAGTTAAGATTGGATGTTTGACAGGAGTAAAGAACCAATAGACTTCAAAGTGATTATCTAGAAAGACCAACAATCAAGTTCATAATTGTGCTCTCTTGTAGAATTCGTTCAACTTCGAACCCCATACTAATTACTGATTTGATTTCTTTTTTGTAAATAAAAGGTCATTTTTTAAATGGAATTGTTATTCACTTGTATCATTTTTTTATTCAGAACATCTATTTTCAAATAAATAAAAAGAAGTAATTAAGCATTGAAAGATGGTTCATCAAAATTGACCACGTAAGTCATCAATGATGAAGAATAACTTTTATGACAGATTTGTGTAAACGGGTGATTCAACACATGCTCCATCAATATTTACTCCAGGGGCAGTATTCTGAAAGCTCACTAAACTTTTAAGTCCTAAAGTTAATTGAGCGCTATTTGACCTCCAAATTGGTATTCTAAAAGCCTAATTGGTGGTCAACTAGCTCCTGTGTCATCAAAATATGTCCCTTCTCTTTTTTGCCAATTTCCAACCAATCAGATACACTATAACAAAGAAAAACGATGTATAATTGTATATGCGCTCCAAACTCAACATAGGAAAATGTGTAATCAACCCCAGCCAGCGGGAACGGCTTTCAGCCTTGCAATAATTTTACTTTCTTGACTTCAAACCTCCACCAATTGTTTAAAACTAATATTGAGACCGCTCCTTCGTATTTGAAATAAAGAAGGTAATTCTCATTTAATCAAACATGTCATCCTTGGATTTGAACTTCCATCACGTAACATCAAAAAAAGAGTGAAAGAGTGCCGTCTCGTGAAAAAACAGAAAAATTAAAGGCCGGCTGTACTAGTTCAGCCAGACGGGATTAGACCACACAGCGAGGTCACTGACAGGTAGCTATCTCATTAACTCAGCTCTCAATTAAAAGAAAAAGAGGATCATGGGGGACCAATAGGCACCAATTGGGGAAGTTTTCTATGTAGAGGGAGCAAGTAGTACAGTGTGGCTTTAAGAGACCTGTTGGGTCTTTTATCTTTTTGAAGTTAATTGAGTGCTAATAGAGATTACAGAGTACCCAAACTTGTTTTAATAACTCATTTAACTACTGCGTGCACACCACAGGCGTGCATCAAAGCATACTTGCAATGCATCTTCTGCCGACTGGAATACCGATTTGCTAAATGAGCACAAAATGGGCTTTCAGATAATTACCAACCCAGGTTATTGCATCAAAGGTATTGGATTTGGGTTAGGATTGCACTATTGTTTCATGTAAGGTTAAGTTAGGGTCGTACCGCAGTTACATCAACAAAATTCAATGCCACACCAATAACGGACTGAACAAAAATGACAGAATGGCCAAGAGTCTGTCGGTATGGAGTCAGTTTGGCAGTATGACTGAGGTATGAGGGTTCAGTAGTGTTGGAATAGAATAGATATCGAGGTGAAGAAATAAACTCTGCCGACTACATAAAAGAATGCATATTTATCAAATCTACTTTTGAGAAACGATACATCCATTGGTTTAAGAATGGCAAACCCTACTGTAAACAAATTTAAATGTAAATCTTGCTGATTGTTAAGGACTGAAAATTAATGATGCCTGAGAGGGCACCTGTGAACAATGTTTTGTAACCAAGTCAAGAGTAAAGAAGGTTAAAGTGAAATCAGACCTTGATGACATACAACTTTAAATGAAAGCATAACAATCTGAGAAGCAGACTGTTGAAAGTTTGAACAAAATTGGACAAAAATTTGGAAAGTTATGAATTTATGAAAGTATGGGAAATTCAAATTTGTTTCAACACACAATATGATTGAAATGTCTTTGTATGACTCTGGACTCATATAGTCTTCCCACATGTAGCCAAGTTTTGCTTCTGTTACTTACTTGGCAAGCATGTCCTAGATTTTACAGTGAAAATTAGTAATGGATATATGTATATTTTGAGAAGTGCCCCCAAGGAAGAAAGCATTTTGGAAAACCGTGAACTATTGATATTTTTGCTCACACCAGATGTGGAGAGTTGTCCGCTACTCCATGTACAACACGATCCATTGAAAAAATTGCTAATTGAGATTCACATGGCTGTAGTGATCTCATATTTTAATCATTTATTACTCTTATTATTGGTCAATTTATTTCAAACTTTCACTATTCCGTTTCTCTCATTTTTCCGCTTTCATACAAATGAACTTATTACAAGGGTTGGACCGCCTTTTAAGGAAGTTGAACAAGTTTTCCCGATCACATATTACCTCAAGGACTCCAGGGCAGCGTTTCACGAAACCGTCATAAGTACTAGTTCACCAACGTCCCATTAAAACGTGTATTAAATTTGTACCTATGACGGTTTTGTAATTTGTGATATGTGTGATGTGCTTTTCATTGAAAGTGATTTCTAGCAAATTTTCATTTTAGAAGACTCGCACTCAACATTCCATGACTGAAATAAAAATATGACAACAAATAATCATTCTAGGCAACATGATTTCTTTTATTTAAACCGTCTACAGATGTCATTTACCAACAAAAATAATATTCTGCTTTTTATAGCGCTTAATACATCTACAATGTCTCTTAAAGCGCTTTACAGATATACTATTACCCCGGTCAATCGATTCAATAAATTGTGCACAGAATTATTTTATTATGCAGAATGGCTTCAGTGCACCCAGTCCAAGGTTCATAGTCATAGTATGGTATATATGTATTCGTCTCTTACACTACACAAACCCCTTTTTCTCATACAATGAAGCTGATAAAATTTCATGCAGACATATATATATATATATATATATATATATATATATATATATATATATATATATATATATATACATGCATACGTCCATATGAAAGAACTTATTAAAATGAAAACACTTACGATGTGCTTATGACGCATTTATTGTTCAAAAGTATATTGTATTCACTAAAAACTTACATAAATTCCAAGAAAAAAAAAACACCTAAGAGGCAGTTCAAAAATAAGTGAAAATCTTTGTAGAAAAAATTTGTCATAAACTCATAAATTTGCTAAATAACTGAAATAGTGCATATTCAAATTTGATGTAGGAATCTATACTAGAACATTTCTCCAGTTACACAAATTCATTTTTGGGGTTGCTTATCATTTTACATTCTCAAACGCCTATTAAGTAAGATTTAACAATGGGTCTCAATCCAATTCTTCTCGGGGAACGGTCAAATAATTAAACACAGATTCATATGTTACATCCACATTGTGATTTTTAAACATTTGATACAAAATTTTTGTTATATACTAAAAAAAATATCTGTATTTCCAGATATTCCGGATTCATCAAGGTATATTCCATTATTTGTTTTCACAGGCACCACTGAGTTGATTCGAACTATTTCAATTAAATATAATTGGCACAACTTGAACTACTTCTATGATATATAATTTGCCCAACTCCAACTATTTGAATAGGAAAGAATTAGCATACCGGTAATAAATGGAATATAATTTGTTCAAGTACAAGAAGAAAAATATATACAAGCATTACATGGATGCAGCTTTGAAAGCTAAAGAATAACAGTCACTTTACCAGTGTTTTAATGTACCGGTACTGTAATTTATTTCAAAACATTAATAATTATTATCATCACTTCTAGTATCATCATAATCACCATCATTGTCATAATCATTATCATCATAACCGTTATTACCATCATCATCATCAGATTTTAAAGCTGCCAAGTAACATACACTTCAAAAGTGTGTTAATGAACTACAATCTATTAAATCCAACCATTTATACAGTGCGTCCCAAAACACACTATACACTTTTGTAATGGCTGCCGAATAAAAAAAATATATGATTCTGGGGCGAAAGCTCATAAACTCAACTTTCATATGACACCCAAAAGTCCGAAAACGATTCATGCTTGGGTGAGCACTGCTCACTTTTGTAAAGGGTATGAAAATTAGGTTGCGCAGGAATTAGCCTTCCTATTTGTGAGAGGTAAAAAAGCTTACAACATTGAGGGTGAGCTCCAAAGGATTTTACCTCTCACAAATTGGAAGGCTCATTCCTGCGCAACCTAATTTTCATACCCTTTACAAAAGTGAGCAGTGCTCACCCAAGCATGTATTATTTTCGGACTTTTGTGTGTCATATGAAAGTTGAGTTTATGAGCTTTCGCCCCAGAATCATGTTTTTTTATTCGGCAGGCATTACAAAAGTGTAAAGTTTGTTTTGGGACGCACTGTATAGATCTATTATCATCATTTCCATAATCAAAATCATGAATTTCACCATCATCATCATCAATAATATGATCCCTATCACTGGGGCATTTTTAAAGGTTGATAGTACGTAATATACATGTACAAGTTTCTATGTGTGAATATGTAGCTGATGAATATTAAACTATGTGTTAATTAAGTTTCCATTCATTGAACTTGGGCACTATGTACTACTTATAATAATCCTTCAGCTACAGAAAGCTAAAATGCTGCTACAGACAGCATACAAAGATTTAACAAGCTACATGACTCTCCTTGCTTAATTCTCATAGTGAATAGAGAACTAGTTTCAAGTCTCCTTATTAATGTAAATCAGTTCTGAAAAAGGGTTAGTTCGACTTCTGATATTGGAGGTCCACTAAAAATAGATAATTCAATATAAGAAAGCGGTCATCGGGACATTTGCAACATCTCATAAGATTTCCTATTCACAATCCACATGAAAACTCGTTCATTTGTAACAATATTTTCTTGTAAAACAACATATTTTTTTTTAAATTCAGAACATGTGGAAAGGTTATCCACTTAAAGCAGAATGAAAAAAAGAAAAGAAAAAAAAAGCAATACATTTATTCCTATCATGTGAACAAAAATATCCCACACATATCAAAGAATTGCCAGTTGTACTCTCACTTATTTATAGCAAGGTTCACTGAAATAACATATCATTGAAATACAGAATGCATTCAGATATTATATTTGACCTAATGTGATCTTGAGATTATTATATAACAATACATGTAGAATGATTTAATCATTACAAAAATTTACTCTTTAAATTGGCAGCATGATATCATACACTACATTATGGAACATCATATTTATGTCTTTCGAGGGAGCTAGTGGAGGATTTATTTGCCACTCGCGACCAGGGAAGCAAAGATTCCATTTTCCTTGGCCAGTAGAGCCTCGGGTGTTCCATACTCCTCTATCACACCCTCTGATAGGACCAGGATTCGGTCAGAGTCCATGATTGTTGCCACACGATGCTATTAACAAAACAAAAAGTATGATTCAGTTTAAGATTTGAAAGCATGATTAAAGAGAAGGTTGAGTTCTGAGGAGAGGTGAAAAATACTTTGTGAGCGTTATCATTGTTATTATGCAAGTGTGGAAAAACATCAAAGAAAAACTTCCCTGAAAAGCATTATGCCACATGTTTGTGTAGTCCCATATGCATCTTTCTGTGTACAGTGCTTGTTACTTTACAAAGACTGGGCCAATTTTTTTATCATTTTGATGACTCCAGAATCTTGCAGTACACACCAATACCAATATGCTATGTGATCAACTTTTTCTGATTAATTCCACACCGTTTCTTTCACAATGCAATCAAATGACCATGGCAGAACTCAACTGTAGCTTTAAGTTTAGAGGAAAAATTCCTGAGAGTGAGAATTCAAATAAGGTTCAATGAAAGACTTGCAAATGTACTTGTAATAATTATCAAGAAATGTCCAAGGTTTAACAGTGCAAGTGACATGAACCAAGATGTAATACATGGAGCAATAAAAAAGGATGCTTTCACGATAACCCTGGTTGAGAGGCCTAATGATATGAATGTTACAAATGTTAATGTTACAAATACAGGGGTCTGCCTGACTGGTACTTAAAAAACTAGATACCTGAAATGGATTGATAGTTTGTTTAAAGCCCCACTGCACTACTTATAGCTACTTGCGCCCTCTTTATAGCAAACAATGCCTAATCAGTGCCTGTTGGTCCTCCATGATCCTCTTTTTCTTATGTTAATTGAGAGCTGATTTGATGAGATAACCACCTGTCAGTGACCTTGCAGGGAGGTCTAATCCCCTCTGTCTAAACTTGTGCAGAGGGGCTTTAAAAGACATAAAGGAACATTGAAATTTGACAGGGAGAGCGAGATAGATGGATAGTTTGTGTGAGAGAAAATAGAGAATAAAGAGAAGAGTAATGAAGAAAAAAGACAAGGAATATAAGGTCCTACTTACTGCTATGGTAAGAACTGTTCTGTCTTGGAAGGCAGTCGCAACAACTTCCTGCAGAATGTGATCCTAATAAGAACAAAAATCAAAAGAAATTATTTTGCATTGTACAAATACATGTACATAAAGTGAAAATTAGTGCTGGTATAACAATAAAAAGAAAAAAATCCTTTTAAATGAGATTTTTTCTTGATACTCCCTCAGTTGAAAATATTACAAGGAATTAATTGCCTCCCCCCCCCCCCCCACCCATAATTTGTCCATTGCAATTACACATACCAGTTAAATCAATCACAGAAAACTCCACTATATTGTAGGTGTTCTGTGTGTGAATAGTAGAGTATCACAAAATTGATATAACAAAGCCATGTGCATAGAACCCAGGTTGAATGTTGGTTTCATATGTATGTGTGTGCTAATGAGTGAGCTGAGAAGTCTACCTCTCGAGTCGCTTTTACCAATACATGACCTTGCCATTTCTCTTCACAATAGTAACATTTAAAACTGAAATTTTAAACATTTTTGAGAATTTTGTGCCAGCACGGAACCCCAACATTCAGAGTCCCTTTAACATAGGAAAAGGTAACTGAATAGGTGGACATTTGTGCTGTAAATATATATATACAATGTATTAATTTGGCTAAATTATGGTACAATAGTGGTACATTATGGTACAATATGAAAATAGGGTGGATTCATAATGAACAGCGCCTCCACCGGCAAGCCGCAACAGGCCAATTTTACAGCTTGTGATTCGACATCTTGCAAAAAGTGTAGCGCAGCCGCAAGATTCTAGCCATTAATCGAAATGATCAAAGTGGTCGGTACTGTGTAAATTCATTTAATGAGATTGATTGGTAACAATTAAAAACATTACAAGAGATGCATGATATTGGAAAAGATATTTGAAGAGGATGAAAGTAACAACTTTACTTACTGTTTCAAAGTCAATGGAAGCAGTAGCTTCATCCATCACTAGAATCTTTGTCTTACGAAGGAAAGCCCTCGCTAGGCAGAAGAGCTGTCTCTGACCAACGCTGAAGTTCTCACCTCCTTCAGAGATGTTCGAGTCTAGTATAATAAAGAGAATCATGGAAATAAGAAAAAATTGAAAACTACTGGCTCCTACCCATAATTTTTCTCACAAAGAGTGCACACGGTAATTCAGTATTTGATAGAACATACTAAAGGTAAAAGTAGCTCATTCTGTACTTTTTTTAACCTGCAAAAACTTGATATCAATTATACTTCATCAATGTACTTCTTATCAAATATTTTGAGAAAATAAGTTATTCAAAAGTTCAATAGTGCAGATATAGGAACTTTTCAGTTTGTGTAATTTGACCTCTGGATAAAGATCAAATATCTTGTTTTTGAACAGTATCTAGATAGATAGATAGATAGATAGATAGATAAATGGTATTTATTGATTCATTTCAATGTATCGCAGTTACAAGTAACTGAATTGTGCATGAATAAAACATTGATGGTGAAGACAATTATACATTTCAAGTGATATCACAGTAAAAAGTAACTGAATTGCACATGAGTAAATTGCTGGAAAAAAGCAAGTATACATTTCAAGATGTCACACTACAATGTACATAATTATGAAGAGCGTGTATATACTATATACCATTAATCTTATACAATATTTCAATTTAAAAATTTGAGTTACAAAGAAAGAGAGATGGGAAAGCAGGAGAGAGAGAAAGAGAAAGAAAGAGAAAGAGAAAGAGAAAGAGAAAGAGAGAGAGAGAGAGAGAGAGAGAGAGAGAGAGAGGGGAGAAAGGGGACAGATGGACAGAGAGGGAAAACAATTATGTACATGTTGATAAAATACAAAGATACATTGCAAGACAAATATGAATATTATAAGGTGAACATTAGAGATATTAAGATATAAATATAGATATGCATCGCATTCTTCATGTCATAAAAAATACATTGACTAACTTGACTAAAAAAATCAGACCTCAAATTTATGAATTAATTATATACTAAGGAATATGAAATTGTAATTTTTTTCAGAGTATATTAAATACAATCATAAAAAACTTTTGTGATACAAACGGATCAAATCTGGGATTGGGCTATTCTGCATACGTTTAGTTTTGCACCTGGGTTCAGGGATCTTGTTAGTTCTTCGCAAAGTTCTATTGTGTGCTCTTTGGGGTATAAATTATTTGAACTGGTCTGTGCATGAAAGAGTTTTTTAAAAGAAGGTAACACATAAGTCATTTCGACGACTTTCCAATGTTTGTAATTTCGATTTAGTAAGAGCGTTTGCGTAACTATGATAATCCTTTCCAAAGATAATCATCAATGCACGTTTTTGTAATTTTTCTATGCGTTGTTTTTGTGCACTAGTGAGACCTCCGCTCCAAACTTGAGTAGCATATTCAAGGATTGGGCGAATATAGCCAATAAAAATAGTAATCAGATCTTTATGTGAAAGACCGAACTTCCCCAAAGAACGGTGCATATATAGTTTCGCATTCGCTCTTTTTTCAATATCTCTGACATGGGCTTCCCACTTCAAGTCGTTTTGTATCGTGACACCAAGTAATTTCACCTGTGAAACAGTTAAAAGAACACAATTTTCGAGAATAATGGAAGACTGATTGAATGGTACTCTTGAAAAACAAATGTCCATTTTAATACACTTTGTAGGATTCAATTGCATTTTATTAATATCAGCCCACAAAGATAGACATTCTACAGCTTCTTGCATGTTTGAAATTTGGTTTGTGTTACGACACTCAACTAGGGTTAGATCATCGACATACTTAAACATATGTATACTTTCAGAAGATTTGAAATCATTTATCATCACAAGAAAAATTAGGGGCCCAAGTTTCGTACCCTGGGGCACACCTGCATTTATTTGACACCATTCTGAGAGATCGCTGTGATAGCGAACTCTTTGTTTACGTTCAGAAAGAAAATCAGATATCCAGTAAACTACCGCTGGTCGTACACCGATTTCAATTAACTTTTTGATGGCAACTGTATGATCTATTCTATTTAACGCTTTTTGAAAATCTGTGAGAAGTATCGTCGATGAAGTTTTTGGTACCTCAGCATTTAAAAAAACATAATGAAGAATATTAATCAAACAGTGTAAGGTTGATAAACATTTCTGGTTTCCAAACTGACAGGGGTCAATATGTTGGGCAATGTCCTGATACATCCACTTTGTGATGAAACCTTCAATGACTTTAGCAAAGTGGTCTGTTAATGATATAGGTCTGAGTTTGTCAATTCGTGCAGGATTCACCTTTGGGATCGGTACTACAATAGCACATTTCCAGAAGGCCGGAACTTTTCCTTGACTAAAAGAAGCATTAATTATGTAGGTTAAAGGTCCCGAGAATTCAACAGAAAAAAGACGGATTAGGCATGCTGAAATATTATCTGGGCCATTCGCCGTCGAGCATTTGATTTTAGAAAGAATTTTATTAACCTGCCAAGGATATACCTCAGGTAAACTTCTAGAAGGTAAGTATGCAGGTAAAGCTGCTAAATTTAGTGGTTGTAAATCAGAAGAGACAGATATGAGATGTTCGTTTATCGCATTCACAATTTTATCTCTCTCACTAGGATCAACACCATCAACTGGGATATTGAGTGATTGACGACTTTCCCTTTGTGAGGTTGCGTATTTCTTGATACCATCGTGAAGGATTACTTTTCTTAAGTTTCTGAATACGTGACCTGTAATATTTAACTTTTGCTTTCTGAATTGATGAATTTACTTTGTTTCTTAAACGTTTCCACAAAATTCCCTTACCCTGATGAAATGCAATTTGTCTCTTATGAATCAGAGATTTAATTTCACCTGTCATCCAGGGCTTATCTCTAAAGTGCAATAATACCTTACGAACTGGAAAATAAATGTTAATTGCATTATTTAAAGTACTATAAAAAGAACCACATCGAACATTTACATCAACATCTTGAGTCACTTCTGGCCAATCATAAGAAGATATCCACTGTCCAAACGCCCTTATTGCACTATCTGTCATGGGTCTGTTGAATACATAACGAGTAGTATTTGGTAATTTAGGTTTGATTTTAAGAGGAAACCACATAATTGAATTGTGGTCAGACATTCCAATAGGAGAACAAATCTGTGGTTTATCATAAAACTGATGAATATTAGTGATAATCTTATCTAAAATGTGAGCCCCTCTAGTAGGGCAATCAACGACTTGACGAAATGAGTGGGTTAAAAGCTCCAGATCAATATTCATTCGATTAAAATCTCCCAATATTACAAAACCTGCATCCGTATGATTAGTTAATATAACATCAATAGTTGTTTCCAAATGATCTATGAGTTCTGTCTCAAGTTCAACATCAGGCTGAGGGTAATATACGACTGCACAGTAAATGCAGGAGATGGATCTTGGAAGACGAGGAGGGCGTATCTTCACCCAAGTCACTTCAAGGTTTATAGGGACTTGGACATCGGCTGGAGAAGGATTAAAAAATTCTCTCACGTAGATAGCTACTCCACCACCTATACGATTAGTACGTGATTTAGTGCAGAGATAATAACCTGGTATAGAGAAGTTATCGAGTGGGCAGTCATTCCTAAACCAGGTCTCGGTAATAGCTGCAATGTCTACATGAAGATACAAGATGACAGCTGATAGCTCATCAAACTTATTGCATGCTGATCTGACATTGCTTAAAAGAAAAGAAGGCAAATCGCACCCAGACTGAGGGGCGACTGGGACAGAAGTCAAGCATCTTCGGCTAGGGAACCTAGGGTATTTCTTAGGGAGCTTGGTACGGGCCGTAGGTAGAATAATCGGAATGGGATGCTTGAAATGCTTCAATTTTCGAACACCAGCTCTGCAGCCGCGACGGGTTTTAAACTCTTTTCCAATTTCAAGCTCTGATATTGTTTTCCATGTCTGGACTGGTAGTTGTAAGCTTTTCCCACAAGAATTTGAGTTAATATTAACCAATTCACCTCGCGTATATTTATATCGTTTATTTGTATTGCATAATGTCAACTCGAACGGACCCGGGTTAGATTCCACATCACCGCAACAAATGATAGGTAAAGTGAAAGTTGCACTTGCATTAGCATAATACTTAATTGGTGTTTTGTGATATCCGCTACGATGAAGCTGTTTATGAGCTCGGCTAGGAACACGAACAGGAACAAACGCAGTTTCATGTTTAGAGTAACTCAAATGTCCACAGAGGCCGATAATTATACATAGGGCAATGTAGAAAAGAACGTATACTTTGTAAGTATCCATCAGTGCGTATCAAGACTATTCATTGTATGTAGATGAATGTCACACCACGGATAGGCAAATCAGTCACACACGAACGACGTTCACACATCCATGCAGTATAGTACATGTGTAACAGCCCAGTGTAAAATGGCTTTACTTGCATGTACTGTGTACACATCCGTTGAATCAAAATTTAGAAAAACAGTTTCCAGTATCTTATATATCAATACATCACCTCAAAAATGTCATGCAGTGTCACAAGTACATAAGATGACAGTTGATCAACAATAAAACAACATACACTCAGATTATCAGTAAAACACGGTAAAATTCAGAGCAAAAACAGAGACGGCTGCCTGCTAGGCGCATTCAGTCAAATTGGTTGTGCTCAGAGTGTGTCTAGCTAAAATTTAGTTCTAATTGGCTCAACAAGTTTGAGCTTTACTTCTCTTCTAATGATTCTCACTAATGGGGCCAATATGGAATGCAATGTGCTGCAGGAACATTCAGTGCTACTGAAAATAGCCAGTATAGGGAATGCTGCTAAATGCATACAAAATTTTTATTCACCACTAAAACTCTCATCCACTGAGGAATTTCAAGTAGAACCATGTGATGTCAAAGAGCAATCAATGACAATCAACCTAGATTCATTCTATACACAGATTGACAAGTATCTTGATCATCAATAAGAGTCAGAGAAATCTTAACCTCCAGAAAAAGCAAAGCATAACTGACAAAGATCACACACATTCATTAAAGCAAGCTCCTGCTACTCCTACATGAACAGCATCTGGCATCGGTAAAAAAGCATTTGATGATACTACATGATGGTGCGGGATACATATATATATATTGCACAGCATGTAACATTTCTAGTTTCTGGGGAGTATTTCACAAAGACTAAGATCGACTTTAAGTTGGACTTAACTATGGCAGGCCGTTTATGCCACTGTTTTCTCTCACCATTATGATCTTTAGATATTACTTTTTTCTTCAATAATGAACTATCAAAAAATGTAAATTTTGTAGAATTGTGACCATGATTTGTATGTCCCTTGAGAGACCAATGCCAGTAAATGGTGGGAGCAAACAGTTGCATGAATGGCCTGCCATAGTTAAGTCCAACTTAAAGTTGATCTAAGTCTTTGTGAAACACCACCCTAGTCTGTCCGTAAATTACTATTTGGATAAACAGATGACTCACCTAACCCTAGATTCAGTTCTGTCACTACAGTCTTGAGTTGAGCAATCTCCAAAGATTGCCAGATCTCATCATCGGTCCTGTCTCCCATAGGATCGAGGTTAAACCTGCATCAACAACCAATGGACATGTAGAGAGATTAGTTTAAAGGCATTGTTTAACAATTTTAAATCTGAGATGCATGGCCCTACGTGTTATCAGTGTATGTGATATGGTGTAATATTGAAGCCCTAAAAAAAAATTGCACTTCAAAATGATCATGAAGTGCCTCAATAAAGTGAAAATCTTTAAGTGACCGGTTTTACCATACTCATTTTTTCCCAATAGACTGTAGTGTTATACAAACCGTTAGGCAAACGAAGAATGACATTTTGATTTCCAATCATAAATATCTTGATAATCAGACAGGCAATGAGTTTATAAAAGTCATGGGATTCCTGACTGACCTGAAGGTTTATAATTATGATTGCAGCACGTGCTAAATCCAGGATTTTGTTTCAGAATCTGAGGCAATGTTACCGAGTTACTTTAAGGTATAGTCAAAGATTTCCAGATTTTCATGCAGAATAAAAGGAAAGTGCATGGATTCCAAGAGTTGAATTACTAATTATTTTCTTTTCCCCCTGACTTTTAGGGTACCGGTAGTAAGGTGTTTTTAATGGTAACAATGTTTTGGGTCACTCAAGGTCTTACCTGATAGTACCAGTAAATAATACCGGGTCTTGAGGAATGATAGCCAGACGTGTCCTCAGCTCTTTCAGTGGTAGTCTAGTGATGTTGATCCCATCAATCACAATTTCACCTGAGAAACAGCAAAAATAAGAAATATCAACCTTCTGATGCCGGCACGTTTTTCCTTACCAAACATTCAACAAATGAATGTCAGGAACAAATGTGCTAATAAACTAATTGAAGAAAGCAGAACCAGCACCAGCACTTGCTTTGAAGGCAGAGTGATATTTTACGAATAAAACAGTTAAAAGTGAAAGGCACCATAACCCTTTAGATACAAGGGCATTATCATTCCTATATCCTACATATTACAATTTGTGAGCTTGTGCTCACCGGAAATAATGGCAAATGCATATACTTAGATAAATTTGTCACTCTCTTTGGTTCAGCTCCTGATGAGTTTTGAAATACGTTGCATTTCAATAAACAACAAAAAATGTAAATTTCAAGATAAACTTGAGTTCTGGTAAATATAGAAAATATATTCTCACATAATAATAATAATAATAGCTCACATTTATAATGCGCCTAATACTTTGTTTCTAGGTGCGGAACATATTATTACCCCAGTCATCGGATTAAGGCTTACCCGCAACACAATGTATGCACATTTTCCACTCCCTGGGGAGTATTCCAGCCAGTCGCCATTTTACAAGCGCTATTTGCTAATCCAACCACATTAACTTTCGCATCCTACCGGGTACCCATTTTAACACCTGGGTGGAGAGAGTGGCAAATGTAGATCAATGTCTTGCCAAAGGACATTAGTGACGTGGTGGGACTTGAGCCGCGGACCTTGTGATCCACAGTCCGGTGACATATCCACTCGACCACGACACCTCTACATAGTCCAATGAAACTTACACTAAATGTTCAAGATTACAAATAAATGACATGTGCCTAATATTTTTGGTGGAAAATGTATAGTGGCTGAGTAACGAGCATTGAAAGATAAGAAAATCAGGGTAAGTAGGCCGACACCATGTACTCAACACAGGTCACTATGTGCAAATGGGAGTTGTGGTTTTTATTGAAGATGATGTGAGTAAGTTTGTGTTAATCTGAGAAACATAAATACTTACAGTTTTCTTAACCTATTTCCAGAAAAATTTCTTATGATAGCTCGTCTGTAGTGGAAGGAGTATTTGTGTATGTTTTGAACAGTAAGAACAAATGTAATTCAAGAATTTTATTAAAAGAAAGAAAAGAAAATGTGGATGGAAAACTTTGTTCAAGAGCCACTTATTTGTATAGTTATTTACATACATATCTTTGCATATTTCATAGCATAATTTCAGGCTCTTGTTATATTGTAATCTGGTCAGGAGAACGAAAAAAGGGGGTGGATTATTGAAAAATACAACACATGTACAAATTTAGCCTCAGGCATTATTCATTATCATTCATTATTATTCATTTAGTATTCACCCCTCTCACAAATCAGTGTAATCATTAAAGAGGGATCTCTTACCATGAAACATATCAATGATACGGAACAGAGTGAGAGTAAGAGAAGACTTTCCACTGCCAGTCCTTCCGCATATTCCAATCTGTATTAAAGATAGCAGGTGAACATGAGAGAAATGTAAATGAAGAAACGATAAAAGCTTGCAATTAATAATTGAAAGAAAGTTTAAATATAGACATACTACTGCTTTTCATCTCGAAGTCTAAAAAACAAAAGAATCAGAAAACCGCAATCAATCAATAAACGCATAACTTGTATACACACAATTTAGGATTTAGTCATCTGCTTTCGAAGGTATTGTGGTCTAATGGATAAAAGCCTCAGGACGTGCAAGACATTTTAAAAATATACATTTCCACACTCGACTCAGGTGTAGTAAGTGGGTACCTGGTAGGATTGAGCTATACAAGAACGGCAGATTGTTATTATCAAGGAATTGAACCCTTACACCTCCTTCAACAGGCAGGTTTAATACTGGCCAGGGAATCTTATTTCTCTGAATGTGTGATATTTGACATAATTTGACAGAAGGATCTCACCTTTTCACCAGCTTTGAAATGCACCGAGACCTTCTTAAGAACAGGATCCAGGTCCTTAGCATAGCGAGCTGAGACGCTATCAAACACTATGTGTCCATCCTCTGGCCATATTGCAGGGGGTATTACAGAACCTAGTATGTGAGTTAAGAATGATAATAATAATAATAATATTCCGCTTATATAGCGTTTAATACAAGTAATACAAAGCGCTTTATAGATACATGTATACTATTACCTCGGTCATTGGATTCAGTGCTTGCCCACACTGTGTGCACAATCTCCACTCCCTGGGGAGCATTCCAGCCAGGAGTTACTTGACGCTCAAAAACTGATAACCGTCATGACAAACATCAATAATGATTCTATAGAATTATCATCATTCAGTTAGCAACAATAATTACATGCACTAGAGGAAAAATATTGCAGAGAAATTAACTATTTAGAAATTGCAGTTTAAAACATGCAGAACTAAAGATAGAAAGGAAACAAACAAAAAGGGAAACAATTTATGCTGTATTTTACCATCATAGTCCTCTATGTCCACCTCTGAATAGAAATTAATCCTCTCTACTGCATTCATGGCCATCTCTAAATCAGCAGCACATCGTATCACCCAGTTCAACAATCCAGCAATCTAGCAACAAGATGATAAGATCACTGCATTACATCTGCTTTGAAAGGCAAAATGGCACTGAGAGTATCGAGTCATGAGTTAGGATGAAATATATCGAATATCATCATGTTTATTTGCTGGATTTAAGGTACAGGCCCTGCAAAGTTGTTTACATCAAATGAACATGTACAGTGTAAACATATGACATGGATTACAAACAACAATAACAACACATGATCTCATGACCAGGATATTTTAATTCTCGCTACTGCATATAGAAATTATTAATAATTTAGAGTCTGCATGCATGAGCCCTATGGAAAAGATCTGAAATAATGGGATCCAGGCAGACTTGGATTTTGGGTGCCTATGTGTCCCAGGAACCTGTTAGCATACAGCCCTGTCTAATATTTCATTAATTAGACTCTACCTCATTAATTAGACACCAACTGTACGTTTGAAAAATCCTAATGCTGCATATAGTCCATACATTAGATGCAGAAGATGACAATACTACTTACAGACATGGCATAGGTAATAGACAATCCAACAAGACTAGGTCCAAACGATTTATCAAGTGCTGAAGCTCCAAGACTGGACATACCAGCTAAGAAGACAACAATAGCTCCAATGGTATCCTTTAAATAAAGGAATGATAAAATATATTACAGAGGTATATCACGGTTTCTATCTGAAACATTAAGAAAAATAAACATAGAATGGAATTCAATCAAAGCAAATAATAAGTACAAACATCTTTCAACATCACAGGTTTTGAACTAAGAACTTTTTAATCTTCACAATGCTCTACATGTATAATATGTAAGCATGACAACTAAAGTACAATCAATTCAGATCAGTTAAAGTGTTAATGAACAGTCTTAACATTGATCTGTTTGATCTGGCATATAATTAATTGTCCTCTTTTAGTTGTGTATGTTCTACATTACCCCTGTTGTTCTTTCGTGTATAATACAGATGCTTTTATGTGATTTCTTATTTTGGACGACTGCATCTTGAGCATTTGATTTCAAGTGGATTTGGCGCCTTGCAAACCTGATATGTTATCATTAGTAGTAGTATCATGAGACAAAGATACATGAACATCTCACAAACATTAACATTCCTTGATTTTAAGAAAGCCCAGATTTAAGAATCAAGGCCTGAAGACATCCAATCAACATTACACGCACAATTACAGAAATAGTGATTGAATGGACTTTCAAACACCAAGTTTGCTTAATAATCGGAAAGCTAAAGTAAAAGGAAAACACTTACCAGTCTTACACCCAACCATCTGTTCCCAGTCTGGAGATATATGAACGCTGTGTTATTGGTCTCTATCTTACTCAAAATATTCCTCTGAAATCGGCTATTCAGGCTGCAAGACAAACAAAATACATTACTAAAATTAAAGTAAACAACAATGACAAAATGTTTTATTTTTATCTTATTATCCATTACCAACAACACAACTTTCATGAAGTTCATAATTTTGTTTCACTTATCACAAAATAAACATTTTCTTTACACCTTTCCCTATATCTGTGTTTTATATGTGTTCCTTATTATCCTCATATGATGAGTATAAGTATTCTGAAAGATTTAAAAAAAATGAATTACAGGGGAGATTTTGAGTGGAAAACCACCAAAATTTAAAGCTTTATATCAAAATTACATGAGCAACTTGCCAACTTTAGATTTCTGTAATTTACAATGTACATCATAAATTCTCGTTTATTCACCTATTTCCTAATTTTACTTTTACATAGAAGAACCTGTCATCCAGGAAAGGTTTTAAAAAAAAAAAAAATTAAAATTGTTTTTTACCTGTAAGCCCTGATGGTAGGTAAACCTCCAAGAGTCTCCGAGAAGTAAGCAAAGATCGGTGAGCGACTAATGCTTTCAAGTCTCTGCAGCTCTCTGTCATTAGAAATGTAAATACATTTCAATAATTTACCTTGATCATACAACATTTAAGTTTTTACAAAAGTTATGAGCCATAATTAATTTATATACACAGTGTTCTTTGACATCTATGAAAACTTACAATACATGATTCACTTACAATACAATGTCAATAAGCCACTTCAGAGATAGTATTTGTACAAATGACCTCCAAATATCCACAAATCCTTTAAACATAAAGATGTCTGACTAGTATTATCATCCTCCACATCACTACATCATCATGATCTTAACACCCTCAAACACTGTGCCCTCTTAGACTTATTGATCATCATCATCTCTATACCACTATCTTTATCACTAACATCATCATCTTCATCTGATCATCATCAACATTTCAACACTATACTATCTAAAACATATTGATCATCATCATCATCATTTCTATACCACTATCTGTATCGCCATCATCTTCATCTGTTCATCATCACTTTCACTACACCATCATCATCATCATTTCACTACATCATCTTCATCATCATTTCACTACATCATCTTCATCATCATTTCACTACATCATCTTCATCATCATTTCAATACTATACCATCATCATCATCATCATTGATATTACACCATAATCATCCAAGTAATCATTCTCATCATCTTTACCTTGATGTTTTGATGAAGAGCTTCATGAGAAGCACATAGAAGACAGCTACTGGTAAGATAGCCACAACAAAGTACCAGGATATGACCGTATTTACTATGACACCTGCAATAGCCGCCAGAGTAAACTTCATCCCTTGGACAAACAGCTGACCCATCCTCTGAAAGAAAAAAGATTTGGTTCCAAAACAGACTGTCAACAGATCACATCTGTAGGAAGATGCTTGAAACTACTGATATGAATAATATCTTCCTGCTTTACCTCAAGGAGATCAAGAGTTATGACCTCAAGGAAAGTAATGTAGCCTGAATAACTTCTGAAGTTATTTCTTTTTTCAATTTGAATGAAAATGTACAGGATCAAAGACTCGATATACACGTCCTATAATCTGGCTTGAAGGCATGAAACTTTTATTGTGTTGCTATATTTGTGTAGAAAGTGTACGTTTGCAAGCTGAGGTAACAATATGGCTGCCGAAACTCATGCATGTTATAAACAACCTGATATCAAATCAAATTATGGGAAAATGTTGATCCTTGATCAACATAGCACTTTCCATTAATCTAAACTACTTACCTGATCAATGACTTGTATGTCTGCTGCAAACCGATTCAACACTCTTCCAATGGGAGTCGTATCAAAGAATCTAGAATCAACAGAAAATAATACCAATACACATCATAAAGGAAAAACTGGTACCATACACAAAACTTTGTTTGAAGTGGAATGTAAAACAAAAAGAGCACAGTATCATGCCTGTATTTCAATTATTTCATCATAACAAGATTTGTTTGTAACAATGAAGTTTGAATTCATTCACTAGAACATCCTTAAATTCCCTTGAAAATCCTTCATGTAGATTTGTGAATCTTACATAAACATGCTAAATAAAACATATCTTTTATAAAACTAACATCTAAATATCATACATATCAGGTGGTTTTAAGAAAAATAAAATATGACCAATCTAGGCAAATTTCATCCGATTTGGCAAAACAGTATTGAAATTGTCTGAAGAAATTAAAGGGAACTCATTTCAAGCCATGTGGCAATCTTTGGGTGATTATCTTACCGTAGGGGTGCATGTATGACTCTTTCCAGCATGACATTATGAACACTACGGGCTGTGTAGAGGGCATTGATGAGGAGTATAGTGGTCCAGATCAGACCAATCACGATATTAGCAACACTTAAGCCAGCATAACCTCCCAGGTACTTGTCAAGAATTGCCTGGGATTCTTCCTGCAGAGAAATATAAAGATTAAATTTGAATGATGAGTGTTGTTTTATGGAAGACATTATAAAAGGTGCAGATTTCCATCCTTTACTTTCCATTTTCTTTTTTTCCTTCCTTATTATCATGAACACAATCCTCCTCATCGTCAGAACATCTCCCCCTTCATTTTCATCATTATCATTATAATTATTGTCTCTATCACTATCTCCACATCGCTATTATCACCAGCACAATCACCATCATAGAGGTGGATCCAGGGTTTCCCTAAAATTGGAAAAGAAGAATAAAAGCTGACCTGTGGGCAAGTTTTTAGCAATTCAGAACCTTTAAGATAGCCAAACACACTCTCCCTGAAGGACAAAGTATAGAACAAAGAGTTGTCTTCATCACCCTCCTCACCATCATCATCACCACCAACATCTTGCCCAGCATACAATGTCCATCAGCCCTAAGGAAACCTTCCCCATGACTCCATCGAGGCATGCATGGCCCTTCTAGTCTTGTCTCAACCATTTAAGAGCTGCTGTTGGTCGTTGCAAAACCAACCTAGTAAAGTCAGGGTATAGTAAGAACCATCTGCCTTTGTAGAGAGGAGCAGACTATGAAACATCTCCTGGCCTGCCCATACCAAACCCTTGCACCCAATAGTGAAGGTGAATCAAGAAGAATAAGAAGATCACCACCAACATCATCATAACTGGCATAATAAAAACATCAATTAGCTCAAATATTTGTATTTGCATGTAATGGACATTCAAAGAAAATGAACTGACTAACATGTGTGTGGCAAATCTAGACCCACCCAACCATGCATACATACATACATGTACCTACCTTGGTAACGTTTGCAGTGAGATTAGCTCCTGCATCTGACCATTCAGAAAGCCAGAAGTTTGTAGCAGCCTGTGCAGCATTCTGAGCTATAGCCATGATGAAGACCATGACGAAGATGAAAGGACCAAAGGCTTGTATGTAGTACCAGTAATACTTCATGGATACTGAACCCAACATACGCTCCTCCTTTCCAATGATCTTGCCGGAATCCTTCTCTTTACCAGCCTCTACACACAAAGAATGGAGTCAAGAAAATGTGGTTTTCATCCCATGCTATTCAAACACAAGCAAATAATAGCCGTAAACACTAGTAATTGAGATTGATGCCAGAGTAAACCAATATATGAGGTACATTGTATTAAAGATATGATAAACTTGATTTGTATACCTGGAGGGCAATCCAAACCCTTGTAGTAAGTTCATTTGAATGACATCATTAAATCAGAGAAACAGAATGGTGGAAGTTTGAAATAAATAGGACCAATAACAAGAGAGTAATCAATATTTGAAATGTGAGAGCATCAAGACTTTGCAAATCTCAAATTGGCAATTTTGTGACGTAGTTACGGATTCCTCTCCTATTTGTTGTGTACAAAATTGTCATTAGTTTTTGTTTTTCCCCCCAAGTGCCTTCACCCTTGGGGTACTACTCAAAATATAGTATGGAAAATATATTATATAAGTCCTCTAAAAAGAAAAGACCAACTTGAGTCATACATTTTTGAGAATTTGAAATTTTACTAATTGTATGTGTTGGAACAAATGGGAAAGAGACATTTATACTGATTCAGTAAATTTGAAGAGCCCAAACTCATAGTGAATGCAACTTTCAAAAATGTATAATTTCTTATTTGTTTAAATTTCATTCAAACTTTCACCAGTATGCTTCTCTCATCTTTCTTCTTTCTTCTAAAGTAGTTGTTTTTTTTAAAATCAAAGTTTGATTTCCCTTCAAGTACCTTTTAGAGACATTGCTCACATTAGATTCTCAAGGATCAATTTGCTTGTATGCCAGTATAAAGATAAACATCTGCAGACTTTTGAAAGACGGAGAAATGAAGAAGAAGAATAATCATAGGTTAACAGGTTAATACTATTACTCTTGCCTATGTAACCAAACCCCCCCCCCCCAAAAAAAAAATGTTAGGATAATACATGTAGAACAGATAAAGAGAGTGATGCACAGAAGAAACATAGGAGAGATAATGAGCAAGACTGAACAACAACAACAAAAACATAGCCAATGATAGGGAGGAAGATGAAGAGAGATAACAAGAAAGGGAAGGAGAGATGGATGAAGCAGTAAGGAAAAGAAGAAGAAAAGGTGGATAAAAAGAGAGATAAAGGAAGGAATAGGGGAAGGAAGAGACAAGATAGAAGTGGATGAAGAAGGAGAGGAGAGTTGGTAAAGTAGTTGAATAACTGAAATAATGAAGACAGACATTAATTTGAAAGCATTCTTTATGTCTTACCTTTCATCTTGAGTTCATCGGTTTGAGATACCGATCTGATGAGTTTCTTGCGCTCCTGTGCCGTCTTTGTTTCATCTTCAGACTCCGGCTCTGATTCAGTAATCTCTTTGATTGACACGTTCCAGAGTGTCATGAGACCAGCATCCTTAGCTCCAATCTCTTTCATCGTTCCCTGATGTCTTATCAACCCATCTTTCATGTATATCACCTGTGAGCAACATCACACAGCACATATTACATGTACATAACTATGATAATATATACATCTTCATCTTCATAAGTGATCCAAACTCTAGAAAAGACGAACAATGAACTAAGAATTGTACGATATCAGATATTTTGGATTTTAGTAAGGTAACATAGAATTGAAGACACAAATATATAAATACCTCACCGCGGGCCCAGAGTTTTTCTTAATCATGCTTCTTTAGGATTTAACTCCTCCTAAAAAGACACTCCCAATGCACATTACAAAGTATCTTCCTTCATAATATTCATGGTTCAAGTCATTCAGACTCTTCATGAAATAAATCAGTTACACTTTACTCTCCCATTTCCACATCTATTACATTGTCTATTAAAACTTGCTGAAAGAATTTCTTTTGAAGGGTTAACAAAAGTGGAAGTGAGGACAAAAGACAGGAGGGTGTTCCATCTTTTTGGGCTGTAATGAGAGAAACTACAATCCCCCGATTTAGAGTTGACAGTGTAGAATCGAGTTGAGTTGATATTGTGATTGGGTTTTGTGTATTTAAATGAATAAATAGATAACTAGGTGCACAATCATTAGCGCATTCATAGACACCTTTATGATATAAATGTGGCACATAAATTACCTTATCAGCATGCTCTAGGTACTGTATCTGATGTGTAACAAGGATCACTGTCCTCTGATTCTCAATCAGGAACTCCATGATACCCTTGTAGAACATATCACTGCCAACATGAACATCCAGAGCTGACAGAGGATCATCCTATATAAAAGACAAATCAAATCACATGAAGAGCAAGACATGGTAAGTACTTCATGCACATTACTCACTTCAATTTTATCATACAACCTTGATAGAAATCAGACAAGATTGAATTGCAAGCCTTATTTAATAATAAGTTCTTGTGCAATACCCACATACATGTACAATTTCAAGAGGAATACTTATTATGAGAGACAAAAAACATCTTCTTTGCATCTACATGGCCTGGTACACAAATTTCAACAACGCCAAAATATAGTAAACATGTTTAAAACCTGAGGGTTGTGTGTATGCCACACACAGGGCATCTCCACATGAAACGCCAAGATTGTTGGCAGAAACCCCCAGGGGTGGAAGGGGCCTCATGTAGTATTATTGTAAGATCATGATCTAGCATCCTTATCAGATATTTACACTAAAATTCACTGGATATCATCGATCTAATGATCTCTTACATATATATCTTTTAATACAAGAAGAACATGTAAGACTATAATCGACACCTTTCATGCCAATTTTCTTTTTGCTATCTAAACTTGATACTTTAATACTTGAAGTACCTCTAGTTACAGCTCTACACCTACTGCAGCCTGGCCATCACTTACCAGAATCACCACATTGTTGAAGCTGTACATTGCCCTGGCTACACTGACCCTCTGCTTCTGTCCTCCGCTCAGGTTGATCCCTTTCTCTCCAATCTCTGTCTTATCTCCAGCAGGTAAGATATCAATATCAGGTTGAAGACAGCATGCCTTGATCACTTTCTCATATCTATGCACAAAGTTAGCAAAATATACATGCAAGCTCATAAGATACCTTTTTACCACCATTAATTTTAATTGGTTTGTTGCTGTGTTTTTTTAGTACCCTTCCACATAGTTCCTTTATTATGCAATATCAAACATTGATATATAAAAGTATATAGACATAGACTTACTTACACAGGAACGAAAATCAATGATATACCATGGTCTATTCATGGTGCTATGAATTTACATTACCTTTTTACCTTTAAACCTTTAAAAAAACTATCATTATATCCCCCATTCATGATGAAAATAAGGCACGAACCAAAAATACAAACAATCTTTTGTGATTTTGGATGATTTCTTAACCTGACTGCTCAAGCTCCACAAAAAAGGGGGGATTAAAGAGACATAAAGAGGACAAATGGCTGTTGTATTACATGCTAACTGGTGATACTCTGTTTCAGGCACATACCTATCTGGCAAGAACTGATTTCCAAAGATGATATTTTCCTTCAGGCTTGCGTTGATCAACCAAGCTTTCTGTGCTGCATATGCAATGGTGCTCAACTCCCTATTGGAAGAAAAACAATTACACATGGATAATAACATGACTTCTGATCAGGGTCTCAAATTTGTTTTACTGCACAATAGAAAGATTACAAGCACTATTCCATGCATAGCAATCAAAGCTTACTCTTTTTAATCTACAAAAATACAAACCTTCATAGCATACTAATGATTTGAGAACATGATTTTATTGGGACACACACATGTACCCCTGCCTGTCTGAAACACTTACATTGACAGTCTAGTGAAGATAAAGATAAATGGCAGTGGTGAGCATACTAGCTCTGCAAGTTCTCAAGCAGTTTGGGGGAAAACAAACATGGGAATACAAATAAATTGACATAAGGAAATTTAAATTTTGCTAACTCAAATACAAAAGAGCTCCTGTGCAAAATAAGTAATTCATATACTGTGCAATTCTCTTCACCAGAATGTCATTTTAGGGTCATAAAAATAATCATTTCCTGGAACACTTGGGCCATATTCTACTTAAATTTGGGCCCGATGCCAGGCATAAATTGGCCAAAGAAAACATATATGACGTCTAAATTTTCCTTCCTTTCCCGGATTGCAGACTTAGGATTGGGTTCACTGCAGCAGTAGAATACAGACCTTGATGTAGGAAATGTACCATGAAAAAGGATACAGTGACTAAAATCTTGTTTCATGAAATATTTTTAAACCCCTCTAAAGTGTTAGGAGCTCCAAAATGTTGATAGCAAAATTTCACGTAAATTGTTTTGCAATGTGAAAGAGGATGTCATTTAAGACACATTTCTGGAAAGATTTAAAAAAAAATTTGTGTTAAAGTCAAATATTCAAGAAAAATGAAAAAAATTCTGCATACAACAGAAAACCCAAATTATGTATCCTTTTATCAATATTCGTCTTCAAACACATTTTTTTTGGATGAAATCTTTGCAGAAGTGTGTCTTAAATGACATCTTCTTTCACATTATGATACAATTTAAGTGAAATTTGACAGCCAATTTTTGCAAATTTGGGGTTCCCAACACTCTAGAGGGGCTTAAGATGTCTGTTGTAAATACTTTACCACTAATAGGGTTGAATTCAATTTATCATGACAATACATGTCAACAATGCAAGCTCAACTGTGTAGTCCTTACCTATTCCATCTGACCTCGCCATGTAATGTACTCATCTCACCCAGAATGGCAGAGAGCAATGAAGATTTGCCAGAACCCACCTGACCTACGATCATGGTCAGCTGACCTGCACAGTGATTTGAATAACGATGAACATGATTGTCGCATTGGGGCATGACTCAGAAAGGAAGGAATCATTATTTCATAAATTATAATATATATATTTCATATCTAACCCTTTACTGGCTTTGATTAATGAGTGGAAAATACAGGGGGATGCCACAGAGGACATTTGTCACACAGACAGTGCATAATGTCAACTATACTCCAAACAATGGTGGTCTAGGATTTTGATCCATGGCAAATAAAGACTTAAACGATGATATCAAGAGAAACATTATAACTTGTTTATTACTTATTTACTTCAGTAGGGCTCAAGGAACTCCTTTGTTGATTGTATGACATATGCCTTTAATAGCAAATTTGATTATCAATTTGCAACATTAAATTCCTGACTACCACATTGGGCATAACACAACATTAATTCTACCTCAACTCCCAATCTAAACTCCAATCGTAAACCCAAAGGGTAACCCTATAACTCTGATGAAAAGGGACTGAGGGGAATATCGCTGGAGCATGATTCAGCTCACCTACAGACAACTGTGGGAGTGAAGGAAATTTGTACGAACCTATGAGACCCCATGCAGAAAACTTGTGCTGGCAAGAACAGATTTAGAAAGATAGCCTTGATATAATAGGTGTTTCTTTCAGACATTTACTCTAAAATTCATTAGAATATCTGGCACGTTTCTTTTGGTACACGCAGAACAATATTTTCAACATGTTTCATTCCAATCCCTTGGTTGCTAGCAAACCTGTCTTTAAATACATTGATTATGAAGTTTAAACAAATGTGTGTGTACCTGCAGGAAGCTCGAGCTGAATATCTGAGAGTATAGGAGTTGTTGAAGTATGATCCCAAGTAAAGCCTCCATCTGTCACCTGATGGTAAAAGAGATGTATGTGTTGGTTAGTTATGCAGACTTTTCTTTTATTTAGTATACCAGGGCCCCATCTTACAAAGATTTATGATTTATCCAAATCAATTGCAAGTTTTTGCAATTGATATCAATTCTTTGTAAGACGGGGCCTAGAGGTGTCAATGAGTTCATAATATAATTTCTTGAGAAGTAAGCTTTGTCATAATGGCCCAAATTCACAAAGGAGGTTTGTCGACAAACCGAGGTTTATGTGCGTCATACAACGTGTTTCGACGCGTTTTTACAAACCTTGGTATGTAAAAAACAAAAGGAGATATGTCGACAAACCTCCTTTGTGAATTCGGGCCACTGAGTCTGTGGTGTCACACTTTTGAAAATTGTTTTGTACAAAACAAGTCGTTAATGACTACCTCTTTCCAAAGACACTCTTTTAATGATTAAATCTTGACTATAATCAATGCACAATTTGCTTATCATTCTGATTTTGTTGAGGATGTAAAAAAGTTAACCGATCAATTTTTCTAATATTTTCTACTTCTATTCATGGCAGCAAGTAATGAAGGTAAAGCTCAAGTTCTAAAACTGCACTATAGTAGGAACAATACAAAGGTCACTCTGCATTGTTTATCATGCAGTAAATGGGATATTAAGACCGGTATTAAGTGGTAATAAGTCTTTTTATTAATGGAGAGCGAAAAAACACATATTTGCACGTCTGGAATGTGAACCGACATATGGACAGACTGACCTGATTTGTCATCATTGTTAGCTTATGTACCTCAGGGCCCCGTCTTACAAAGGGTTGATATCAAACGCAACTATGTACATAAGAGATAGGAGACGGCAAACTTGCGATTGATCGGAGGACTTGCGATTCATTTGGAACAATCGCAACTCTTTGTAAGACGGGGGCCCAGCTCCATGTATTGCATGTTTTCAGTCAACATCTAATATGTCAACATTTAATATCACGTCAAATTTTATAATATCCACTCTAAGTTTTGTGGGATTCTGGGACAACTTTATTCTTTCTCACCCAGCACTCAAGATCAGCTTCAAGAATTCATGATGTGTTAAGAGAATCTGGAGTAACTAAACACTAGACTAACCTTGAGAACCACATCACTGGAGAGAACATCTTCATGTGGGCTGTGTAGTCTCGTCGAGTCCTGAGCTCGATTGTTGGCTTGATTTAATGAGGTCTGGTTTGATCCGAGATCATCGTCACTATCTCTCAGACGGCGGTATGTCTCTGTGTGTGCCTTTTTATGAGATGACCTACTCCCCTTTCCTTTGGGGTCAATCACTAGGGTGTTAGGAACCTGCAGGGTAAAGGGGTTTTCTTAGACAAACTGAACTCTCAAAACAACAAAATCCACCCAGAGAGATAATTAAAACTAAAACTGAGAAAAGAATCTTCAACAACAAAAAGTCATAAATTTACCTCTAAATACATTTTTTTTAAAAGGCAAAAATGGAGTAGGCCTACTCTGGTTACTGAGCAACCTGTTCCTTTTAAAGGGAACCAAAACCTTCGTACTAAGTTACTTTTATTGTAAAGTTTAAAAGATTTGAATAAAATCTGTGAAAATTTGAACAAAATCGGGCAAGGAATAAGGAAGTTAGAGTGTGTGTGTGTGTGTATTGGGTTTTTACAGACGTGTATCAATCAGATATGATTATTTACGTCTGGGACCGACCTTTTAACGTCACCATCCGAAAGACGTGACTCAGTTTCGAACCTGCGTCCTCGGCTGAATCAGTTTGTAACTTCCACTTTTTAGCTGGATTACAGGCGCACGCCACAACGCCTAGTTAGAGTTAGAGCTTTTTTAAATGACTAGTCACTAGAGGGCGGTATTCAATTTGATGACATCATCTGTGGACAACTCTCCATGCCTTTTGTACATAAAATTTCACAATTTTTTTGTTTTCTTCGTATTTATTTGTGTTCCTGATCCGACTTCATAATATGTGACGTAGAATATCATTTTGCATTCTATATCTTGCTTTCAGGGGAGTAGATTATCTCAATCACAAGAAAGAAGGAAAAACATGAAAACCATTCTAATTTCTAAATAACAATATGAAATTTTCATGAGATTTCTTTTCGTCTTTGATTGGAATATTGATGAGTAGGACTTAACTTCAGATATTTTCAAAAGTAACTCAAGTAATGTTTCATCCACAAGTTAATCACAGATGGAATGCACGGTGCACCTATTCAATTTGTCAAAGGTTGTTTAATACGGTCCTGGTACATGAATCTTTACCTCTGAACTGCTTGCATCGAAGCTGGCTGTCCCATTTACTTGGAAAGAATCACCGGTTTCCTTCTTTCGTCCATCGTCTTTCTCCTCTACTTCCGGAGCAGTGAAGAAAGCGGTCAAGCGACGGGTGCTGACCACAGCATTGACATGAAAGGTGAAGATCATAGGCAGAAGGAATAGAGGTAGACTCAGCTGATTGAAGACAGAGAGGGCGGCAAACGTGATGTCAGGGGTGAGCGGCTTTTCCGTCAGCACAGTGTACAAGCTGTAGGACTGTAGGGCAGCATGAAAAGGGAAAAGAATTCAAAGAATGAAACTTACTCGGCCATTGCTGCACATTATCCATGGGTGTAGGATTCTACTACTACTACTACTACTACTACTTCTACTACTATTACTGCCCCTCTGGAGTTGGCTCGTTGTATGTGTAACATCAAATTTTTTGAAAAGCCAGACTGAGGCTGCCTCCATCAGAGTCCGCCCCTTGGTGTGGTTTGAAGTCGGCCCGAGTCTGGACTCAGTCCCGCAATCAGTAGGTGTAACACCAAAGTGGACTCGGCACCAGCTTATTCGCGGAAGTGACATGACCCGTCATCATAAGCAGAGCTGCCAACCTTGTGCGACCAAAAAAAGGAATCATGATGGCAAAAAAAAGGAATTTCAAGCAAAAAAAAGGAATTCATTAAAACGAAACTTACAACCACGCGTGACACACTTCCAATGTAGAAATGTTCATTAATCATGCTGTTTCTTCCATACAAGCAGGTATTTTGTGTGTGGTTATTTTGGTATCATCGGCATTTCATTCTGTTTGAGAATATTTTTCTCTTCAAGTATGTTTTAAAATTAGTGTTCTATTGAATTTGTGATCAAATCACCATTTTAGGGCAGTTGTTTGACGTGCGGCATGTAAAAAAAAAAAAAAAAATATGAAGAAAAATCGTAATACCGTAATTTGGAGGAAAAAACAGAGTAATTCCGGCAAAAACGGAATGGTTGGCAGCTCTGCATAAGACAACATTACATCGGACACGCTTTGCTATCTGGATCAGGTTCATGTATAAGCTGTTGACCAGGCAGTAGGTAATATGGCAATTATATATTTATAGCAAAATAAAAAAAATATGAAGGTAATGTATTTATAGCGAAATCAAAACAAAATATGAAGGTAAGAGCTGTGCACGGACCGACTGCGATGTCCACGTCAATGAGAAAAAAACCCCGAGATATGTGTAACTGAGGTTTAATGACTGAGGTGGCTTCAAATTGCAGGCGTGAGGCCGCCTCTTAGGCTGGCTTTAAAAGCCGAGGCATGTGTAACAGGGGCCTTGAATGCATAAAAATGTGATGATACTCACCGTCAACATCACCAGCAATGGGGCAGAATTTGAAACACCATCTATGACCAAAAGAGTAATAATCAGAGTTAGAAAAAGAATCAAATTGTTTGTTTGTCTGGAATTACATGCAAGACAATATAATCAATCACACATATGACTTCACTCAATATAAAATAAGGGATCCACCACAACAAAGTTCAAGTTAGGATTAAATGCCAAAACACTACTCATGAAAATTGATGAATATATAGGAACAGTGTTATCATGAGGTAGATCAAGATATGATTGAAAGCTATGATATCATATAGTATCATTGTGCTGTATAATCTATGCTCCATAATAATCAATTATATATCTTAGTGGGAACTTTGTTTTACAAAGCCATCATGAGCTATTTTTAAAGGTCTCCTTTTGTAAAATGAAACATATCTACATTGTCGATGATAATCTTTACTTTGACTGTATTTTTATGAAAATGAAATAAAGAAACGAATGAACGAATGAATGCTTTTGGAATACTGTTAGCCCTAGAGCTACCATACACACTTATAAATAAACAATATTTATTATCAAATTATCAAACTTACTCAGAATGACTTTCCAGATATTTTGAGTGACAAGCTGCCCAATCTCTGCAGCACGAGAGTGTCCGATGGATGAGAGAAAGATGTCTTCCCAAGCGTATAACTTGATAAGCTTGATCCCTTGTAGCATCTCGTTTGTCTGCTTCAGTCGACCGTCTGCACATGTCTGTAATATCACGCATGGGTTGGTGGTTCATAAAAAGCCATTACAATATTTCATTTCCTTACATAACCCACGACCACTATCTGTAAGTGTCTAATATTACGACATAGGGGCTGGTGGTTGGTAAATAGACAACACAATTCATAGAACTAGCCACTACATTACTCCACTCTTTCCCAAGTGAATTATAGATTGCATACACAGTATTTTTCAGTCTAAATGGCACATTTGATTTGGCAAAATGTACATAGATATTGGCACTCTCCCAGTTCCAAGTTTGAATCGAACATGATGCTAAAGTTTCATACAAATAGTAAACAACTACAAGATATCTATGACAAATCTGCTCATGGCCAATCGCATTTAAGGATTTCAGTCACAAATAACAATTATTGGATCTTCTTACTGATACCGAATTTTAGGAAAGAGGGTCCAGGGCCCCGTTTTACAAAACTTGTCATCAGTGACGAATGACAGTCCTTGCTATAAGCTACTGAAATCCTTGCTTCTGATTGGTTATCAGCAGATTTGTCACTGATCTTTTGTAATTTGTCATTGAAAAAAGGCTTTGTGAAACAGGTCCCAGATCTTACCATAGCCCCTTTCTGATACTGAGCTGTTTTCTTGGCAATCAATGTCTGGAGAGGTATAGACAAGACAAAGATAGTTGACCCAATCAACGATGCAACACCAAGCTGGAAATAGAGAATGATCAGGTACCCAATCACCTAAGGAGAGAAAAGAAAAGGAAATAATGAAACAATAAATTGCTTTACTATGGTCACGTAATAATTTTCTATTGAGTGAGCCTGTGACTACTAAATATGCAGGCTATTAGATGATTAATTCTCTACAGGCTGGACAAACCCTAATGCTACAATAATAAAGATACAAAGGAAATAAGTCTGAGTTGTGGTCATTTCTGAACTTGGGTGCCAGTTTCCTTTGTTCCAAACTGGTGAAAATCTGGCCTTAAAAACATCATGCAGATCTTTAAAAAGGTTGCTAGAGTTTTGCATTTTTTACACTCTGGAAATCATGCATCAATAACCATACTTCCATCGCATTAACTGCATTTGGCTGCCAAAAGATTGTACTTTGATATTCTGTTCTTGGTTCTATCTCTTGATTTTCAGAGTTGAAATCAGTTCATAAACTGAAAATCATCAAGTTATAAAGGCACCCTATTGCAAGCAATATGATCACTTATATTGAGTTCATTTTAATATCCTTGCTTTATTATGCATATATTGATGACAGTCATGGAAACAATGATATTGGGGGGGGGGGGGGGATTCGTTTAAAAAATGGGTTAGAGAATAAAGAATACAGACCCAGCTGTGTTTAAAAATATATCTGTAGGAAAATCAAACAAAGTTAATAGAAGAATTGAACAACATTCGGGGGACAACAATACCATTTCCTACCATCATATTCTGGATTATTACAAACTTGTCACCACTGTAGGTCTCAAGATATCTAACTTACCAAGTAAGGAATAGACCAGACGTAGTGTATCCATTGGAAAGAGTTGAGGATATTAGTAGCATCCACCGACATGTGGTTGGTAATCTGTCCCATAGTCATTGATCCACCCGTCATTGAGTAGCTTGAGAGACGAAGGGCCTTACTGTAGACAGCAGCCTGCCATGTCAATATTGAAGGGAAAAAAAGAAAGAAAAAAATGAAAATGTAACATCAAAGGGGAGCAATACACGGGTCCATTTTAAAATTTATGGATATTTCTTTCTTCAGGTCCTAGTGACAAGTTATTCCAGTAACCTGAACTAAAATACTTGGAATCCGGTCTGCATATATTACTTGTTGATCTGTCAGGTAAACATCTAGCAAGCTTTCTGGTTGTCAAGAATAACTTTCGTTTAAAGGTATGCATAAGATTTGAGTATGTCGGTAAACCTGTCCTTTGCCGATTATGTTTTGCTCACTTTATTATGGATTACATACTGGTATCCTTAATATAGGAAACAACAGTTTTAAATCTACAGATTGGATGTTTTGACTAAAAATGTTGCCCTATCAGTACCGGAAGGCTTTACATTGAAATTCAAACTTTTGTTGTAAAGAGGGTGTATTCATTTTTATTTGAAATTTGAACAGCACATACCTGAAGAGCGGCCTTACAATGAGCGGATTCCATGATGACACTATGATAGTGATGTTGGTTGCACAGCCGCTGGAATATAGACTGTATAAACAAGACTACCACAAGTACAAAGCCATTGGTGAAGAAGTCATACCAGTCTATATACTTGTTAGTTGATGGCTATTGGAAAATAGTATCAGAGAAGAATCATTAAACATCATGGGAGGTTTATGCAAGGTGAAAATTGAGTACTTATACTGGTAATTCAATCAAAGAGGGTCTAATAGATTGCCATTTTATTTAATTATTATACTTTTTTTTTTGGGGGGGGGCATTCACATCTTTTGGGGGGATGCATCTAATTATCAATATGAATAAATATTAGAATTCCAAATTTGGTAACAATTTAATCTCTGAGAACTTCATAATTGAGCAAATCAGCCATATAACACAAAAATCTACTGCACCTGACATGATTTCGCCTAAATCCAAGCATTCTAAAAAGAACTTTGTTAAGAAGTTCACAATTGAGGACATCTTTTCCTTTTACCGCTTCGCTTGCACACAAACAAAAACTGTGCTGAATTAAAGTCTTTTATACAACTACACTGCAAAAAAATGATGTGAGTTAGTCCTGCTATAAGGTACAGGGACCCAAGGTTCTTGATGGAACAAAATTGGAGACTTCAAAAAAAGAATGAGCCAGGCTTACTTCTCCCTGACACGGGTTCCAAAGAGGTTACCTTAATATCTTAATGGTTACTTCAACATGTAACACTTACCAACTGTAAGCAATATTGGATACCACACTTATGGAAAAGAGAATTAATATATGAAAAAGAAAAAAATCACAAATTTCACTTTTATTGATAATAAAACCACATTGACCCTCTCGATTAAAAAGTCTATGTGAGCCCCTTCGAAAATGAAGTGCTGCTGAAAGGTCAATGCACTCTCTATGTAAAGAAAAGTACTAATTAAACATCTGTTTGTCACAGTAATAGAGTAAAACCTTGCTTCCCTACCTCGTTGCCTCCCCCGTCGTCAAACGCTTGTGCGGTAGCGTATGCAATGATCCCAGATATGAGGTATGGTGAAAGAAAGGATGAGGAGTCTCCAAAGAACTTGATGATTCCTCCACTTATCAGGCCAGGGTAGAATGCCTTCAGGTAAACCCAATACAAGTTTATCTCCTTACCTGATGCTTTAGCTTTGGCCTGAAAAGAAAAGGAATTAAACAAGTTTGGAGTTTAAATCTCCAGTGGTTCTTGAGATATTATGATATGGTGATACATACTATCATTAAGTTTGAAGTTAAAATTCTCCAGTGGTTCTTGAGATATCGCGATAACGATCTCAATGTATGGAATTTCATAAGTTGACCTCTGTGACCCTTGACCTTTGACCTACGTGCTCCAAAATCTAATCAGATTGTCTTCCTATGGTGATACACACTATCATTAAGTTTGAAGTTTAAATCTCCAGTGGTTCTTGAGATATTATGATAACAATCTCAATGTATGGAATTTCAGAAGTTGACCTCTGTGACCCTTGACCTTTGACCTACGTGCTCCAAAATCTAATCAGATCGTCTTCCTATGGTGATACATACTATCCTTAAGTTTGAAGTTTTTACATCTCCAGTGGTTCTTGAGATATCATGATAACAATCTCAATGTATGGAATTTCATAAGTTGACCTCTATGACACTTGACCTTTGACCTACGTGCTCCAAAATGTAATCAGATTGTTTTCCTATAGTGATACACACTATCACTAAGTTTGAAGTTTAAATCTCCAGTGGTTCTTGAGATATCATGATAACAATCTCAATGTATGGAATTTCATAAGTTGACCTCTGTGACCCTTGACCTTTGACATACGTGCTCCAAAATCTAATCAGATCGTCTTCCTATGGTGATACATACTATCCTTAAGTTTGAAGTTTAAATCTCAAATGGTTCTTGAGATATCGCGCAAACAAACTCAATACAAGGAATTTCATAAGTTGACCTCTGTGACCTGTGACCTTTGACCTACGTACTCCAAAATCTAATCAGATCGTCTTCCTATGGTGATAAATACTATTCCCGAGTCTTAAGTTTAAATCTTAAATGGTTCTTGAGATATTGTGATAACGGTCAAACGGGACGGACGTACGGACAACCCGAAAACATGATGCCTCCGGCACCACCTTCGGTGGCGGAGGCATAAAAATCAACACAATGTAAAACATTCTCAACCCTTACTACAGTGTAGATCCATATCACCTGCTGCTGCTGCTGATGTTGATGATGATAATGATGATAATGATAATAATAATAATAATAATAATAACAAAATTGATAAATAGTGCAATGACTATCAAAATTACAAGCTAGAATGTGCACAACGACGATGATGATGACGACGATTTTTGTATGACTCTTATAACAAAAAAATGGTTACTACACTGTATATACTATTTCAGGAATATTCTAATAATTCTATTTCAAAGGCACTGTAGCTTGGGCGATGTTAAAAATCAAACATGGCATGGTTTTATTTATTGTGTTCACCTAGAACACCTTGTGCATCAGTCTCTTTCATGACTCGCAATGAAGCTAAAAACATTTTGCATAATGATCATACATGTATGATAAACATGTGTTTTGAAAACTTTAACGATAGCACTATGTAATCAATACTGCATACCGGGTACCCTGATATTTGCCAACAAGAAAATGTGCTCAGAATTTTCCATCATAAACATGTATGGTCATGTTCGAAAAAGAAAACACTTGAAAAAAATGACTACCGGTATGAAGAAATAGATAATCGTAAAATTAAAAAAAAAATTATATTGGGTACTTGAGAATGAAATGTGGCATGAAATTTAACCTGGTGAATTTTTTTCTTCAGTAATCTTTGTAAACTGAACAAACCAACTTTAAGGTATGTACAAAGTCAATGCAAACCTACACTATTGTCTCACAATCCCACACATCATGTAGAAATAAGTGCTTTGGGTAAGAGAAGAAATCTGGCCCAGTTTACAAGCCAAAATCATAAGGCTCAGGCATAGAGTTCTTTTAATCTATTACTGGGTACCTGACATAAACATTAGTTTAAAGATAAAGACCAGTTCTGGTCATGCGATTGCATTGTGAAAGAAACATTGTGGAATCGACCAGAAAAGGTTGATCATCTAGCATATTGGTGTGTACTGCAAGGTTTTGGAATCATCAAAATGATAAGAAATTTGGCCCGGTCTTGGTAAAGTTACAAGCACTGTACACAGAAAGATGAATATGGGACTACGCGACACGTGCGCGACACGTGCATGATATCTATCAGGTCCAAATAGATATAATACATACAATATTTTACCAAATATATCAATTTTTAGGCGGTTTCTCAGCAAAATTTGTATCAAATTAGTCAAAACATATTCTTTCACAGGAGGCCTAAAACAAAAACTTGTTGTATTGCCCTTTGCGACCGACCCAAAAATCTGAAAATCTACGGTCGGCATTTTAAAAAAGTTTTTTTTTTACCGTTTTTCAATTTTCTTGTTTAATGAATACAAAAATATGTATTTTGTTTGTTTAAATGGGATATAAATGCATAATATCAAATTATTCCCAAATTCTCACTTGTCTTCTGCCCTAGTTTCAAAATCCTAAAAAAGATATGAATGGAATGATGACGCTGAAACACATGTATAAAAGCATTAAAAACTGAGAAATTGTAGCCAAAGGAGGGCGGGGAAAAAAAAAAAAAAAATCAAATTGAAAAATATCGGCCCAAAGAGGGGGAGAAAAATAAAGTTTAAAAAAAAAAAAACTTTTCTGACCGACCGACCCATGTTTTGGCACCTAAAGGGCAATATAACAAGTTTTTATTTTAGGCCTGACTGGTAATAAGAGCTTTCATTTCATTTTTTGAGAGGGGGGGGGGGGGGGCGTTCCCAAAACTGGTCTTTACCTTTAAAAGAAGAATAAAATGAAGCTCACCTGTTCCTCAGCAAGTACTTTGGCAAACCTGCCACCATTGTGATGGACAGTGTGAGTCTTATTGAGATTGCCTAAATCCTTGATCTCCAGGGCATTATCATAACCCATCGTGAAGAGGGAGTTGAGCCACCAGAAGAGGACAGATGATGGTAGGTTACAGTATCCTTCATAGTAATGCATCTGTGGATCCTTGAGATCAGCTGGGAAACCTTCCTCTACAGTACACCACTTCAGCACCTGCCAAACACAAGTATTGTTCCTAATTAACTCTTACAATGCCAACAAGTTTATCACAAATCAAAATCTTATCAGAGAAATTTTAAATCACAATGCCCTTTTTTATTGTGCATCAATTCAACATGATTTTGTACAATACTTTTCACGAATCTCTCTACCGTGTTTTACATTTTAATCTGAAAACAAAGCTTATCTTTGCCCAAGCACAATACGATATGTATATACAATATCAACATTTGGGTGGTAAAAACTGAGAAGATGCTTAAGGGTTAATTTTTTAAGTGAAGGGGTGTAGATCTTGAGAAATTATTTACTGCATTTGGTTAAACACTTGATGAAAGGCAAATTTTTGAGAAAACAATCAAAAGTTGTGATAAAATCATTACATGTTATCAAAATTACTACTCTTGCTTTTATTTCTTTACACATAAAAAAATAAAAAAATAAAATGATTATGGAGAAGGAAGGGGTGACAGCTAAAAACATTGAAAGTCATAGATATGTCTTTAAAACTGTCTTTAATTATGGTAACAGAAAATATTCTGCTGGTATCCGATAAAGTGCACATAGGTACATGTACATGTACATGTACATGTACATATAGAGTGGTGAAGTGTGACGTCATCAAAAATCTATTTTTAGAATTTCTCAATTTTTTTCTTCATATTCCAAAAGAACATAAAAAAATAATGTCTAAATGTCGAAAACCAATTGAATATGTTTAGTATTGGCTGAGATATGACCATCTAAATGAATATATGTCTTATGGGAACTCAGTGTTATATGCTCTGGCTCCTAACCATTAGGAGCCAGAGCATATAACACTGAGTTCCTATGGGGAGTATATTTATTCAGATGGTCATATCTCATTCAATACTAAACATATTCAATTGGTTTTCAAAATTTGGACATTATTTTTGATGTTCTTTCGGAATTTGAAGAAAAAATTGAGAAATTCTAAAAATAGATGTTTATGACGTCACAGCTTCGGTACTCTATTAGAGCAGAGATGATTCAAGGTTAAATTTTTGATATGGTAATTATAATACATGTATGAAAAGGTATAATTCAATACCATTCATTAGCTTTGAGAAGACTGGAATAATCTCAATAAAGTTATATGTGAAACAATCAACTATTTAATTTACATTCAACACCTTAATTTAAACAAAATTAAAAAAAGAATACCTCATCAATTCTAAATCCACATGTACATGTAGATCAATAGAATATGAATAACATACATGTAACATGCAATATATAACATGTAGTGTCATGCACTAATTTCTTTCTCTTTTGCATGTACTTAAACAATTTTGTTATCAATGCTTCAGTATCATTCTTATTTAAACTAATCTGAAAAGTTTTGTATGATTCTTTAAAGTCTTAAAAATGGCAAGGTATGATCATAAATACCATACAAATGAGGTTGATTACTGTTTAGGGGGGAGGGGGTATTGTAGCTAGTGTTCGTCTGAATTTTGAATTCATACATAAAGAACTTTCCAATCGAAAAATGTTTTTTGGTTTGATTGACAGGAAGACAGTCTGCATTTTGATTATATCAATAAAATCAGCCATTTCAGAAATTCTGCCCATGTTGTAACATTCCTAAAGATTTTAAATATTTTGAATTACCAGAATTAATCTTCCATTATCATTATCATTTATTTCATGAGAAAAGTAATTTACCTTGACCCTGATAACATGCAGCTCGGTAAGGCATACCAAAGCAATTAGGGTTATGGATGCAATATTGAGGTCCCATCGTAAAGTACCTAGTGTGATCTCATGAGGATAGTAGTAGAAGAAGGTCTCAAAGCGCACACATTCAGCGGCAAGAAGCAAGAACCAGTACAGGATCTGTGGCACCAACATGGAAGGGACATCCCAGTACTCCATATGATGATAGTAGACTGCTGCTAGGATGGACCCAATGAGCGCTGCGGTCGGGGCCACGTACAATCGCGGTGAAGTTGGCTCACCACTCAAGGTATCTATATCTGTGAGGATACCTTCTCCCACCTTGCACAGGCATAGTGTTATGTAAATCACATAGATGAACCAGCGGAACACGTGGCCGGGGTACCTGGTGATGTACGGGTGCTTGGTGGTGGTTCTTGCGTTGCAGCATCGGACGAATATGAGGACCAAGCAGAAGAGAAGTATGCAGAAAGCATGCAGGCATGTCACCAGGAGGTCTGTGAAACAGCCATTAAAAATGGTGTGGGGGAGGTCCCAATAAAAGGGATATAAGCTGTCTGTTGTAGATGAGTTCTCACCACAAAACCAGTCAAACTTCGCGATCTGTGATTCCTCCATTATGAATCCTTGCATCTCCCTACATGTACGAATGCTAGTAAAAGTGGTAATGCTTCATTTATTCCTGCAAAATATATCAACAACAAAAAAGTTATTGTGGCAATTTCGTCAGAGTGAAATTCTGAGAGCTCATATACAGTACATGTACATTTCATTGGTATTTAGCTCAGAAATAACTGGTTTGAAATATGATCACACAGATAATCTTTATTTGATCAAGCCCCAAAATATTCTCTCCTTTAATGCTTGAAAAGGATGATTGCATTTACATATAAGCTGATGCTAATTTGTTTCAGATCATTTGAGATTACTCACATCCCAATAGGAGATTAAATTGTCCAGAGGGAGAGAGTGAGACAGCATACAGTAATGGATGGGGGGGGGGGGGCAAAAGAGAGGCTGGTTGAGACTTGAAGACCAGTGAGTACATACAAATGAGAATAAGTGAGTTAGAAACAAAAATATATAGAAAAGATCAAGATACACTTAGTACTTGTGTTCACAGTAACAGCCGTATTGCCTTGCAAATGATACATTTTTTTGGGGGGGGGGTGGGGGGAGGGGGGTTGTAAATTTGGCACATTTATAACCCTCAATAAGACTGAAAAAATATCAATGTACACATGTAAAAATGCAATATAATATAAATTAATCATGTAAGAATTTTTTTTTTTTAAACACACATTAACATCAACACCAAAAACAAATATAAATCACCAGACTGTGAACTATGGAATCCATACAGCTGTACTGAATGTCTAGAGCATAGAATAGTCAATGTAGAACCATGGACCTATGATCAAAGGAACTGTTCCGTTGAATATCCATTCGTAGTAGGTCCATGGTAGAACAGACTGGACATACTGAGCTTTGGTCATGAGTCAGCATAATACCAAGTAAACTTTGTGATGTATTACAAAGAACAAGAAAGCTTAAGAATACATACATACTTTGTATGAATTTAAGACCTGTACTGAATGTCTGGAGCATACATGTAGAATGGTCAATGTAGAACAGACTGGACAGTGCTGTGGTAATGAGTGGGCATACAGGTAATCCAGGGGTCAACAGTGTGATGTGAACAAAGAACAAGAAAGCCTGTGAATACAGTACTTTGTGGGAGTGGTAGACCTCTTACATTAATTTGATCTACTCTTCCTAATTGTGACTTATTGTAGTTGTGCAGTGAATAAAATATAGCTACCAGCAAATATTCCTCCCCCCCCCCCCCAAAAAAAAAAAAAAAATTGGCAATATTTCAAGAAACTTCTTTATCCACAGTATCAATTGCACCAGACCAAAGATGTACATTTGTACCTACATGTAATCATTCAGAGCCAACAACAAACTATAATGTTTGCCTGCTTCTACAGTCTAAAGTCTGTAGGTATCACAAAAAAATCTAGTTATTAATGACAAATCAAATAAATAGCTCAAACAAGTTGATAAAGTACTTTGTAACCCTTGGCACCATGTCATTATTCTGGTGTACTTGTAAGCTACATGTAACATGTTCCACAACTTTATTTAGGCATTTTTATCTTTGTCCACGTGGAGAAACAGCCCTGACCCTGCCTACTATGTGAACTTTGATCAGAAGAAATGGAGGAAGGACCTAGCAATGCGTACATTTCATTGTAATTCCAAAATCACATTGCATATCAATTTGGTAATTTAATGAAGAAAAGGGTCCAAAGTCTGAGGAAGTGAGTTTATGGATCGTGTTTAAAAGTAGTGATCAAATACAACAGGGCAACATGTTATTATCATACAATAAGTTGGGTTTGTATTTTTCTTTTGATCACATCTTCTCTGGATATAAGAAGACCTGCTAAAATTGCAAATCTGTTGCCAAATATTTTGATAATTTCTTATTTAATTCTAATGACTTGGTGGTAAAATATTTTCAATATCTTGTCAACTTTATTAGTTAATAATATTATTAATTTTTTTGTTATGGGGGTAGGGATTGGGTATGAACTCATCACCAATGGCATGTACAATGTTAAATGACACAATTCGTTCCTATTTTCACGAAGTGACGGTAGTGAGGACAATCGTCATGCAAATTGTATGTGTACATTTCATTGTAATTCCAAAATCACATTGCATATCAATTTGGTAATTTAATGAAGAAAAGGGTCCGAAGTCTGAGGAAGTGAGTTTACGGATCGTGTTTAAAAGTAGTGATCAAATACAACAGGGCAACATGTTATTATCATACAATAAGTCGGGTTTGTATTTTTCTTTTGATCACATCTTCTCTGGATATAAGAAGACCTGCTAAAATTGCAAATCTGTTGCCAAATATTTTGATAATTTCTTATTTAATTCTAATGACTTGGTGGTAAAATATTTTCAATATCTTGTCAACTTTATTAGTTAATAATATTATTAATTTTTTTGTTATGGGGGTAGGGATTGGGTATGAACTCATCACCAATGGCATGTACAATGTTAAATGACACAATTTGTTCCTATTTTCATGAAGTGACGGTAGTGAGGACAATCGTCATGCAAATTGTATGTGTACATTTCATTGTAATTCCAAAATCACATTGCATATCAATTTGGTAATTTAATAAAGAAAAGGGTCCGAAGTCTGAGGAAGTGAGTTTACGGATCGTGTTTAAAAGTAGTGATCAAATACAACAGGGCAACATGTTATTATCATACAATAAGTCAGGTTTGTATTTTTCTTTTGATCACATCTTCTCTGGATATAAGAAGACCTGCTAAAATTGCAAATCTGTTGCCAAATGTTTTGATAATTTCTTATTTAATTCTAATGACTTGGTGGTAAAATATTTTCAATATCTTGTCAACTTTATTAGTTAATAATATTATTAATTTTTTTGTTATGGGGGTAGGGATTGGGTATGAACTCATCACCAATGGCATGTACAATGTTAAATGACACAATTTGTTCCTATTTTCACGAAGTGACGGTAGTGGGGACAATCGTCACGCAAATTGTACGCGATTTTCCTCACTACCGTCACTTCGTGAAAATAGGGACAAATTCATGGTCTTTTCAAATATATTCTGGTACAAATTTGGGGGTTTGAAGATAAAATTTTAATTAACTAAATGCTCACTTTGCCCTTCCTTCAAAATGACATATTACTTAGTCATTTATTTATTCATAATCTTCTTTGTTTGTCATTATATCCTCTCTATTCCTGTAGCATATCCTTCTCCCTCTCCCTCTCTTTCTCTTAATTATATAATATATTTTATTATATCTTCTTTCCCATTCGAATTCTTCTCTTTTCTCCTTTACATATATCCTCTTTTTTAAATTTATAATCATATCCTGACCTAGACAGAGAGTCTGGTATGGGGAATTCATAAACAAACTTAAAATTGTCAGCTATCCCCAAAGATAGATGGAAACCCTTGCCGAAAGTCAAATGTTTATAGGAAGAGAGAAATTACTTCATAAGACTCACTTACATGTAGTATGTACTCTAAATTACCTTTAACTTACAACCATGTACCTGATATCTGAGGTGTATTCTGACCTAATGTATGTTTTGTGTACCAATGTATGTATTTTGTCCTGATGTTTTGTTGTTGGTGTCTGAATCTGATGATAATCAGACCTTGTGGATTTGTATCAATAAACTTGAAACATGCACAAGGTCTGGCAAAAAGTTTGTCCCTGTACTGAAGTTTATCTTACATATCATATCAGGGAGTTGGAATGGATCCATTCCAACTCCCTGATCATGGAGAGGGAAATTTACGCAATGCAGTTATTAAATGTGTGAGTTTATGTGTGCAGTGTGTGTGTGTGTGTGACTGCTGATCTCATCACGCAGGCTTCAAGAAAACGGACAGATTAGCTGAAAGTCGTATCAGGACAATCAACCCTCAGAAAATTAATTACCCCCCCCCCCCCACCGAAAATTACCCCCTGTTCATTAAAGGCTAAGTCCACTCCAAAATAATTGGCTTTTAATGGATGCAGAAAAACAAGAGAAACAGAGCAAAACAAGGAACTTATGAATTTACAGTATTTACAGTATGAAAAACTGTGGAAGTTAGAAAATAATTACACAAATTTCCAATTTGGTTATCAGTTTGTGACATCATTGCCTCACTATTTATCAATTGCTTTATATACTGATTTTGATCTCATTAATTTACCTTTTTATCCCCCAAAACTTGATTTCCCCATGCCTCAGGTTATATGATTTGTATCATATTGCATGCATGACATTTCACAAAATCTTTTATGATCTTAGAAGATTTGATACTATTTTTTGAATATTGTATACCGATATTCATAATCATAGATTTTTATTAATAATTTATCAAAATTAAAAAAATTTATGATTTAACAGAATAAAAATATTACTTTATATTAATGCAACCACATGAAAACATAGGGACTATTATCAATATAACTTGGATGCGCGATGCTGATGTGAGGAAACAAGGATTTTAGGGGGAATTATTTCACTGGCTGCCTGCCGTAGCAACAAACAGAATTGACAAAAAGACTCAACTCCGTTTCCTTGATGATCAGCCATAGACGAAAGACTTCATGCATGGCTGATTGTCAATGAAACCAAGTTTAGTCTTTTGTCAATTCTGCTTGTTGCCAAGGCAGGCAGCCAGTGAAAACAAATTTGTTTGATAAAATTATGGAAATGCAAGCACTAGGTCTACTTTAAACAAACAGAACTTTGTTATTCCTAGCTCATTTTTCCTGATTGAGGTGTCATTTGAGAGGGCAGAAACTCAACTTTCTAGAAATGAGATTTTCTCTTTGAAACTGAAAGCCAGATACCGTCCGCCAAATGACTTTTTGGTGCTCTCTTCCATCATACGAGTTGCATCAAATGAAAGAGGATATTTACAAATATGTGTGATTCAGTAATTATAATTGTGATTAAGTTATGAATAACACATCGATAATTCTCGGTTTCGTTTTTTCTGGAACGCACTGTAGACTCTACTGTATATTCATGCAAGTTAGAGAACCCACTACTAGACTCGAGCTCAACGAGTGCCATACCCGTCCGGGCATGGGCGGGCGCGTGCCGGGCCGGGCCGTGGGCTGGTCACTGCAGCTCCAAGAAACATGCATGTCTGATTAATTTTTCTATAAAACTAAAACCTCTAGGCTAATACCGTAGTAAGAATCTTGGATTTCATTCACTATGGCATGTTTTGAGTTCCACTGTAAATGACGAAAAATATGAAAACAATACTCACGGAGTAATAAAGTCACACGAAGACCTACGACGGTGGTACTCGATTTCTCCTCAAATGTCAGAAATATATTTCCAGTGCAGTGCAGACGTACCGGTACCTGGTCGGTGCGCGGCGTCAAAGATTCGACTTTACATCATCGATCGCATCGTTCGCATCGTTCGCGCACGTAGGCCATGGATCCAGGATGGAGGGCACAGGCCCCCACCCCTGGCAAAAAAAAAGGAGTAAAAAATAAAATGGTAACGACAATTTGACCTTCTTTAAAAAAAAAAAAAATAGATGGGCCCCCACCCCTGGCAAAAAAAAAAAGTTAAAAAAAAGATGGTAACCCCAATTTTACCTTATTTTTTTTACTCAAGGGGGGGGGGGGGGGGGGCGGGCTGTTGAGACAAAACAAAATAGTGCTCACTCTCCCGGATCTGCCTATAAAAAACATTTTAATTGTCTTCCTCGAGTATAGTCTTTACGTATAGGTTTGACTGTCACAAGCCTATATCTGTTGATAAAAATGCCGTAAATGTAATTTGCCACATCGAATAGATGAAACACTGTGAAATGATAGAGAAGGCAACAAGGCTGATAGCTAAAATCTATCTCTTTCTTTTTTTTATAGCTTGATCACTTCACTTGTTCACTAATAGTTAATTAATGACCAGCCACATATGTCCATGATTGAAAACAAGAATAAATCCAACATACCCAGTAAGAGGATAATGCACTATAAAATAAAAACTAGGTCATAAAAAATATCAAATATCGTAATGTATCAAGCTTTTCCATTAATTCTTATAGGACAATTACCCCCCCTCTTCCACAAAAGTGCCCTTTTGGGGGATGTCCCCCGCTTTGAATACTGTTCTGCTGCCCCTTGAAAGGCCGCTGATACTGGTTCAATAAAATCACACGAAATACATCCAAGAACTTTATCTGCCTCTCTCTCAAGCATTCTCTCCCCCTGTTCTCTCTTTCCCCCTTCCCCTCTCTCTCTCTCTCTCTTATTCTCTCCCTCTTCCCCTTTTTCTCCCTCCATTTTCCCATCCTTCTTCTTCTGTAATTTACCCTTCTAACTATGACTTATTTCTGTCACTCTACCCTCCTCCTTTCCCCTCTCCCTAACACTTTCAATCTAATAATTATTTCACATGAAATAAATTACATTTTAAAGATTTCTGTCCTAAATAATTTAATACATTATTTTGTTATTGATCACATAATTACACAAGACATGACATTAGCTTCATACTGTACTATAGGCAAACATATATAATTTCACAACTGCATTGAACGACACTTCAAAATCAAAGCAGGTAAATTAGTAGTACATGATTTTGCAAACCAAAGATGGGAAATGTTCTTAATAAAATTATATAACAAATTGGAAGGCAAAACTGGCAAGGAAGCAAACTCTGAGTGATAACTTGAGTGTTGACTTGGTGTTACTTTGTATCAGTGCAATATGTTAGTACAGGTTTGTGCTTAACAATGCATACATTATAAATGTACTTATGCTTAAAAATCTACTGATCCTAATGCTTCTCACAACGTCCTTTCTCAAACTCAAGATTTCATTCAGAACAGAGATACATGTACCGGTAGCTTTTTTAATGGCAAACATTTTTTGTGATAGCAAAGATAATGATTCTACATGTAGTAGTCTTCACTGCCAGTCATCTGATGAGACTTGCCATAGTCTGTTGGCAACTCACAAAATAAACAATTTTCAGTGTCATCAGATTTTGATCAAAGATCTTTGGATGTGTGCCCCTTCTCAACTTCATATTTTTGTAATTATTTAGTTCCAGGTTTATTAAATATTTGATAAATTATCATTCATGATTAAGAAATTAACACTATGTGGGGCTCCATACATCAGTTAAATTACTTGACTCATTTGCAGTGTGAGTTAATATCTTGACTAAAATTAATGTCAAATGATCAAATTTCCTGACATGAAACTTTTATGATTATTATGTACTGACACCTGCTCTCAAACACTCATATTTGCACAAGTTTTGGGTTTTTACAGTATTAGCTTTTATGAATACTGACCATTTGATCATCAGAAGCATTATTATTTCATTCTTTAAATATCAAGAGCTTTGACATGATCAGCCGTTTCTTCCAACACAAGACCTTAGAAACAGAATTAGTAAAAACAGGAACTACACATAATTGATAGCATTTGTCAAAGAGACATGGCAAGCATTTACAAGCAAAATTAAATGTTAATACACAGTATACTTACAATAATATAATAATGGTCATTTACTCATATACTTTGAAAATTTACATTCTCAAACAAAATTTAAACAATGAACTCAAGCACCCAAAGAAAGGAATGTTAACTAAAAAATTGTAAAAAATTATGAAAAATAAAACGAAAAAAACTTCATAAATTCATTGTATAGTGTCACAGAGAATCAATTTTCAGTTTAAAGAATAATCTTCCAGTAGAACTGTTTAGGACAAATTGACAATAATTTAAATAAAGGATTCTGACATAACGTAAAAGTTGTAACCTAATGTCAATGTACTTTTTTGCTTTACAAGGGGACCCTCAAAACAAAGCTGCTTATGTTCTGTATGTTTGGGGCTCTATCCTCATATCCTATATTCAAAATATCAGCTTTGAATATTAATTCATTAATGAGATTCTACAATTTTAAATACTGAAACTGCACATAAATACAGGCAAGAGTTTCTTATTAGGAGACCAGTATACACACTGGCATAAATCAATTGTTAATCTTTAAATGTTCCATATATTTTCGATCTTTTAACGACAAACACATTACTTTTCGGTGAATGGACCCCTTTGATGAAATGATATAAATACTATCAAACAAAATAAGATGAATTATCTTTATCTCATGATTCTAATCTCATCCTAATGAGACAATAGCATTAGTATCAGGTACAGGATAGATACAATACTTAATTCTTATCAATTGGCACTATGGTTGCAAACACCATAACAATACATGATCAGAGGGTAAAGAAAAAAAAAGTTATTGCACAATATCAATGGGCAAAATTATACAGGGAAAAAAAAAACATTAAATAATATATTTTTATTGATCCATGGTTAAAAACTTTTTTTCTTTCAAGAATTTGAAAAAACAAATGATATTAATTGTAGAAGTACTGTACTTTTATTTTACACATTCATGTAATAACACAACATTTTGCTGGTGACATTAATCACCAAATCAATTTCTCCTATTCATGGCATGATGGTACACAAATGAAAATTCTTTCCATATGCTGAGTATCCAATCATATTTAGCTTCATAGCTATTGTACTGTTTTAGTTTTTGTAGCACTTTAAAATATGACTCTGTACGGGCACAAGAAATCAGGAAATAAAACAAAAAAGTTACCCAATATGCAATTAAGGAATGCAAAAGCAATTTGATTTCTAATTCAAAAAAGTCAGATTTCTTACTATCTGATAGATACCCTTCTACAGCAATAAAATTATTCAAGCACCAATCACAAAACATCACTCATACAACGCAAAACTACAAAAGCACTTACAGGACTTTGAACCACTCTGTAATTTTCACTTACTAAACTGCAATAGCACCGCACAGTGTAAAGGCCTAATTGTCATTTATTATATCAATGAGAAGATCTTTGTTTGCTGCCACCTCACTCAGTCCTCCTCACCGACGGGATACCATCCTCTCCTCTCTAAGATGAAGATCTGAGGTTCAAGGATGAGTGTTGGTGGCTTAATCACAAGCTCTCTCAAGGTGGAAGGTCGTTGAATGCCGGCGTATCCCTCGGCAAAGGTCAGAACACGGTGGGTTTGTTTGTACCAAGCCAGACTTGGGCTCTTTTCTGATGGGGCTCCTATACAGAGGTGAGAGAACTGCATCATTTCTGGTCCCCCAGGGGAAAGGGCTTCTGTCTTGTCATACCTGATACAAGGATATAGGTCAACAGAAAAAGAATCATGAATGACTGTCACAAAAAGAAATGAATGGTAATTTTTTTTTTTTTTTAAATATTTTTTTGCAACTGAGTGATTGAAAAGGAAGTTATACATAATTATTACATTATATAATGAACCATCAAATTTGAAAATTTGCAAATGATGTAAAATTTTACCAATACCGCATGCAGAGCATAAAAATAATCATAATTATAATAATAATAATATATTCATTTGTAAAGCGCAATAAATATGTGGATATATTCTAATGTGCTGCAAGAGCTCGTAAATGCTATGCTATACATACTACATGAACAAGTAATTGTTCAGTCTTGATTTAAACATAATGTCGTGAGGTAATTCTAAATGTTAATGTGATGTGTTAATTGCATGCAATATTTCTTAGAATAAACTTGGGAATATTCCCTCTCTCAAGCAATTTTGGATAAAAAGGTGAAATAAAGATCATGCAGAGAAATCCCTTATAGCTTTGTAAAATTCTATTCAGGGCTTTTGCTCAGAAACAATATTTTGAAATTACAATATGAACTAATCTACTATTTGTAGACTATGTAATGACATGCAATATTCAATGTAAATTTATGAAAATACCAAAAGGCATTTACAATAGGGACAGAGAAGAGAAAACTGTAAAAAAAAGTCAGGGACCATTTCCTCCACTTTATTCTATTTTGCTTACCTCCATTTTGAGTTGATCTGTGTAAATCTTGAAACACCAGTTTGTGCTGTGGCTACATCGATGTGAATGTGTACATTATCTATACAACAAAAGAAGAGGACAACAAATGTACATATAAATGTATTATTATTAAGAGTACAAAGATGACAGTTCTTCTATCCTAATGGAAACCTCAAATGGACCGGATGTCAACAAAAGACTAGCTACTCAATTTATCAATAAAATACCAGTAGCATAAACAAACAAAATCAAGGTAAACTAAAGAGAGGGGATGGAAAATACAGCTATTATGTGCAAATGAGGCAGCTGCTGACAAAAATTAGGGTAATAATTGCTTTAAAAAGTTAATATAAAGATAAGAAATTGATTTTCTTTAAAACATAATTTTTGAATATTTTTCATACTTGTTGATATATATGTTCATTCTTGTGTCATATCCTTTAAAATCTTGGAAAGGTTCATTCATATATGAAGCACTAAATCTCTACAGTTTTTTAAAATGTTATTACATTTAAAGATAAAGTTGAGTTCTGGTCATGCGATTGCATTGTAAAAGAAACATTGTGGAATCAATCAGAAAGGTTGATCATCTAGCATATAAGTATTGGTGTGTACTGCAAGGTTCTGGAATCATCAAATGATAAGAACTTTGACCCAGTCTTGGTAGAGGTACAAGCACTGTACACAGAAAGATGTATATGGGACCAAACGAACATGTGGCATAAAAATCTGTCCCGATTTTTATGTTATAAGACATATTTGGAATATTAAAGACCGTCACCACTACTAGGCAAGAAGGGATTAGACCACACAGCGAGCCATCGAGGTCACTGTGACAGGTGGCTATCTCATTAACTCAGCTCTCATTTAACATAAGAAAAAGAGGATCATGGGGGACCAACAGGCACCAATTGGGGAAGTTTTCTATATAGAGGGAGCAAGTAGCTACAAGTATGGCAGTGTGCCTTTAAGGCATTTGAAAAGCCATGCTTTTCAGGAAACATTTTTATCTGATGTTCTTCCACACTTGCATAATACAATGACAACGCTCACAAATTTTTCACCTCTTCCCAGAACTCAACCTTCTCTTTAAATGAATTGTAACGGTGATTACGTCATTAAAAAATAGCAACACCAACAGCATAGACCAAATCAAATGTAGATTCTTACCAGCATTAGGAGGAACAAGTTGATGTATCTGATGCATGACATCACCCCCTGGGTAATTATAATGGGATACTACTAACATTGATGCTGTTGCTACAATGTTAACTGCGAAGTGACCTAATACTCCTACGGCAAGCAACTTCATGACACTAGACTTCTGGACATTTCGAAATCTGGGAGTATGAAAGAGAGAAAAAGAAAAAAAATAGAAACTAGATGGAACTTCGAGTGCGCGCAGTCAAAAACGATGCTAAAAACTGGTAACCATGCAAGAAATATCAATCTTTATGAACTCACTTTCTGATAACCAAGGTTTGTTATTCATTAGGTGTATATGTTTGGTAACCCAAATCCCTTATCTTTTCACTATTGGAGGGGGGGGGGGGGGGAGGGGCTGATCACGGCAGATTTATCATCTTTCTGGATATCATCGCCTTTTCTTGCAATATGGTATGCAATATGCAATATGTTAATTGGCAGTGAGTTACAATATGTTTGTTGATAGTGGAAATAAACAAAACTGTGATAAAACTTGAAACTGATTCATTTTTTTCACCATCACAGCTTTTGAAACTGATCATTCTATTTCACCATCACAGCTTTGTCTCCCGTCTTCATTTTGTTGTCATTACAGAATAAACCACCCACGAAGAGAGTTATGTTCTACTCTTCCCCCTTGTGAGGGGGACTCTATACTCACATGTTTGCAATGGTGGTTGCAGCACTGACATTGAGCATAGGCAGTACATAGATGATGAAGCGAAGCTCCTTGTGAGGAAGAAAGGAATAGAGGAAGACAAAACCCAATGAGGGTAGTAGAAACCATGGTATCCTCCTGTCTAAGAAACAGCCAAGAGGTACCAGCACCACACTGGTCCATAAACCCCTTGGGATGGCCGAGTAGAAGTACCACAGGAACGGCATGGTCTAATGGTTATGGTTCAGAAGTAACAAATGAACCCCTTTCAAGATAACAATCATGACATCTGAACAGTTTGTTTAGCAAGCAATGAATAAACTTACAAGGAATTCCATACAAGAATTGATACTGCCTTGACTTACTACTACTTACTACTACTACTACCTGATATGCACAAAAGCTCTTTAGCTGTTAGCAGAACAATTCTCTCTATTGCATATACTTTCCCAAAATGCAATGCACCTCCAATACTTCAGCTTTTTGTTTAGACACACTAGCTTCCGGTGATTCTAAAACATGTATTCTGCTATATTACGATATGATAATTCATTTAATTATCTGCAATTTTTAATCTTGCTTGATAGTTCCAAATTACGAAAAAATACACAAGCAGTAAGCACATTTATTAATTAAAAGTAATATACCAGCATTATCAAACAACTAGAGCTTGGAGAACTTCTCTCAGTAAAACTTGGCACGCTGCAAAACTGTTTGGCTGGTTTTGACTGGGTAAGATAATTTGCTAGTAAAAATAGAACGCCACTTACGTTGGCTTGTTTTCAGCTATATGCGGTAGGGCGAATTGGATTCCACGAATTAGGAATCATAGTCCAGACAGGGGTTTATCCTCTTATTAGAACAATAATGGATAACAAAACTCAGATCATATAGTAGATTAGTTAGGTAAATCACATTTTACTCAGACCTAGAGGAATACTGAGACTATTAAAGACCTTCATTAATCAGAGTTACCTAATCAAAATAACAGTGGTAGAGAACCAGTTTTACACCAGGTATTATAAGTAGGCATACAACAGATTAGGCAAACATAACACCACAAATAAAACCTAGCGCACAAATATATATATATAGCTAAAGGATACACCCCAGTTACTGCTCTTATTAAGGATTGTGTTATACCAGAAGACCACACCTTCTGGCCATAGCCATCGCTGCCAGAATATGGAGTCCACCAACACTGTCGCCCCTGATTTGGAAAAAGACAAAAAGAAAACATGAAATCAACACTTGAAATGTATGTTTACCTGTATTTTCAATGTGGATTAAACCTGGCTTTATAATTTTTTTTTTCTTTTTAATTGCACATTAATATGTGAACATCCTCCTTCCATATAAATTACTGTAACAAAATGAAATGAGAACAAGAAACTGAGAAATCAAGTGTATGATAAATTGATTTATGTTTATTCGCTTAGTTATCAAGTCACTGAAATTTGCTATAGATTTAAAAAATGTTGATATTTGGCAATTTACAAATAATGCATCTGACTAAAGCTACTTGTAACAAAGTCAGATATTTTGGCCAACTGTGTAATGTCTGACACATACCAAAGAATTGGTATTCCAGGATTCAAGAATTCAATATGAGCAGCTATATAACATGGCCTATTTCAATTAGTCTTGCGCCTGGATAAATCAGACCCTATGTTATGAATTTAAGGGTCTGTGCATGCAATTAACTAACCAAAACTTTGCTCAGTTTATTATCTATAGAAAATATATTAGAGAATGTTTTGGAAGTGAAAAACACAGGATACATGCTATTTGATAAAAAATTAAGGGTAGAAATTCGCCCCTATCTCGATATGAAATGTAATCAAAAGAAATTTGATACAAACGAAGTAACACAAATGTTTTCATTATTTTAGTTAGTGATTATGTCACATTAGTTTCATGTTTTGTACTATATATGATATATTACAATTGCATGAATTCTGTAGATAAACACCATTGTAAATAGCTGTTATTTTATGATATGAACAAATAAAGTTCCTCGAAAGAGGATAAATAGAAATTAAAAAAACCTCACCAAGGCTGAGAATACCTCCCAGAGCTCCCCAGAAGATGACCTGAGGTACTGCTAGTCTCTTGGACAGGAGTTCCATCAGGAGCATCAGTCCCATCAGCATACAAAGCTCAGAGCGGAAGACAATGATTGCAAAGGCAGTGTAGAGAATGAAGGCTACATGATCCCGACGCATCCAGCCACTGATGGCACGCAGAGCTGTAAGAAAGCAGAATCAGTTTTATTGTCTAATGCAGGGCACAACACTAACAGGTGCCCTGGACACATGGGCGCCCAAAATCTTTGTCTGCAACCCCAAGATTTAAAATATGTTTATGTCTGTGATAACTTAAAAGTATTAATAATAATAATGATAATAATATTGATAATAAAAATAAATAATAATAATAATAATTATAGTGATAACAACAAAAAATAACTAGAAATATCGCAATTGGCATGAATGGCCTGCCATAGTTAAGTCCAACTTAAAGTTGATCTTAGTCTTTAATTGTGAAACACTCCCCAGATGTCATTACTGCTATTCAAGAACCATATAGCTATACATTAAGTACATTAATTACCATACCATATAGCAAAACGTATGTTTGAGTATCGTATGAATGAAACCTCCATAAAGTATCAGGGTCCTGTTCTTCTCTGAATGTCATATCATACGTGTGTAAGTGGGCAGGAGCACGTAATCTTGAGCATGTAATGATGATTGGCCAGCTGTCATGTCAAATGACCTCTTCCAAAATAGTCTCTTTATTTGTGTTTGTTCCCTTCACACAGCATTTATTTATAAGAGGTTTAGTACAATTTTTGGAAGTCTGAACAGGCCAAGAGTCTCACCTCAGCCCCAGAAAGACATAAACAATGTCAAAGAGATTAATCAGTCAATTTACTTTGGCAGGTATACCCTAACAAGATCATAAACAGAGCAACATTTGAAGGGTCTATGACTGTAAGCCAGACATTCCTGGCATACCACACATCTTACTAAGTCAATGTAAGTCATGCTTCAACTGAGATACCTAATGCGCTGTCAGTATAGGTCAGCAGTCCATTTCATACATTATGTTTAATGAATAAGTGAGAAAACACATGGTAGGGCATTGGAATAGGTGAGCATATGACACTCCATACAGTCACTATAAAGATGGTTTGGAGTGGAACAGTATAGTATTAATGACTGCTTTGAGAGAAATAGTTGTTTTTATACGCTCAAGGGAAGGTTAGAATTGTGCTATTACCTGAGGCGTGCCGAGGGCAATAGCCCAATTGTAACCTTCCCGAGAGCGTATAAAAACAACTACTTCTCGAATATTAAAGCAGTCATTAATACTTTTATATGCCAAAAAAAAATAGACTAAAAAATAAAAAATAAAAAATAATTTTTTTTTGTCGAAGATGGGATTCGATCTCTTGCGTACAAAAGGTGATGAAACTAAAATCAGCGCCTTAAACCGCTCGGCCATCGTGCTCTGTCACCATATCTAGCAGTTTTCTCTAATATATACATTAAAATGGATTGAAAACGGCTTTGCGTGGTGGATGCTTCGCCGCTGCTCCATTAAACGGGCCCTTCTTTTACTTTTACTTTTGCAATGCATATTGGCACGAACTTAGATCAAGATCTATCGGCAGATGTTGTTTTTTTTGTTTTTGGAAGTTTATTTTCGTCTTCATGTCAACAATGCAAGATAAAATTGTCGGTAAAATCGATCGAGATTCAATTGTATTGAAATTACCAACCAATTCTTCGCACACGTACGGTATCCTCGATCGCTCAGACCATTTTTTAACATGTAAACCTATGGGGTAACCATGGAGACTGAACTATTTTCCCGGTAACCATGGTTACTGGGATTTTAGAACTGTTTTAACCATGGTTACTGGGAATTTTACAGAAATAGTTAAAGTTTATGAATGCAATTTAGACCAATCAGATGGCTGGATTTCTTAAGTGAGGTATATAATTGACTACATTGTCTTTCCACTAATGAAATTTGAACAACACAGCAAGATCTGTGGTAATTCAAAGAAAAGTTCTGTTGTACAACTACAAGTTGAAGTAAACAGGACACATCCACACACTATGCAAATCCCCCCTTTCCTTAAAGATAAAGACCAGTTATGGTCATGCGATAGCATTGTGAAAGAAACGTTGTGGAATCGATCAGAAAAGGTTGATTATCTAGCATATAAGTATTGGTGTGTACTGCAAGGTTCTGGAATCACCAATAGATAAACTAATTTACCAAATATATCAAATAGTAGGCGGTTTCCCGGCAAATTTTTTATCATCATGTATTAGTCAAAACATATTCTTTCACATGATTGGTAATAAGAGCTTCCATTTCATTTTTTGAAGGAGGGAGGGAGGGAGGGAGGGAGGGAGGGAGGGAGGGAGGGAGGGAGGGAGGGAGAGAGAGAGAGATGATTATTATTACAATTACGACTCACCAATCGCAAGTGCAAATATGTTAGGTAGTGGACGAGACGCATAAAACAAGAAGTGACTCTGTGACAATGTGAGAAGAACAAGGTATCTTGAGACATCCCGCCCAAAGATATCAGCAACGCTTGAACGGAAGGAGTTGAATGATGATACGACTATCACAGCAAGCATGGCACGCACTGCAGAAAGAGAAAAGTAAATAGAATTCTTAATACGTTTAAAAAATGTTTTAAAGCAGTTCTGAGTGTTTGTTTGCCCTAAAATTGTTCAAAATCCACTTTTTCAATTTTGTTTCTATATATATATATATATATATATATATATATATATATATCAATGTATTTCTGTTTATCCCATTTTACAGTATTTTTTAAGACTTCCATTTAAGTCCTGTGTTATAAAAAGTACCTATATGAATGTCTCCTTAATATTTGGCAGGAAATATTAAAATGATTAAGTCCAATCCACAGTCCAATCTCCAAAATATCCTTTAAGCATGATGGACGTCAAATATCTGTTCATTATTTAGTATACAATACTACTTCAAGATGCATCATTCATGATCATTGCATTTTTGGTGCTCTGCTAATTGCATGATATACTGAATAAGAGTAAGAATCTATCACATATAAGATTTGGATTTCGCACAGCAAAATGCCTGAACTGCACATTTGTGAGCATGCCAAAGACAGAATGACAGGTTTATGATTTCTATATTCAAGCTCAAAGCCATGTGTTATGATTGCATTTCTTGATCTCTGCTAAACACTACCGGCATACATGTAGGAAACTTTCATCAGAATATGCATCAACAGAAGATACTCTTGAATTTTTTAAAAGCATCTACAGCATTCCCAAAGGCAAAAAAAAATCTGAGGATAATAGCTATTGATTGAGTCACAATGTTTATGATGGTTTTCCACTCACGTTCCCCTGCTTTTCTCCATCTCTTATCAGTTTATTTGGCAGAAAACACATGATATCAAAATACAGAATTAAAAATAATTAATTAATAGCAACTCACACAAAAATACATGAACACTGGGTGCACCTGGTTGTGCAGCCAGGCCTTGGGCAAAGTTAACCAAGTAACTATAGTCCGCAGACCGCCCTCACGTTTCATGCAGTTGGTGATGCATTGTGGGGCATGGATGTTGAAACATTGGAACATTGTGATCAGCAGATGTATACTTAAATCTGAATTAGTGTCAATAGAATACCCTGTCTTTATCATTGCAATATCGCAATGGGTTATGCTTCTATGGGTCATTTATTCGTTGGTTAACTGTTTTGACTCAAACCCTGTTCTCTCGCATAATCATCGCAATAAATTTTGATTAATCAACAAAATATAGTACTTATTGTCCATAATTACCAATATATTGTGCACTCAATTTTGTAGCACCAAGATGCAGGAGGCTGCAGAGTACCACAAACGGTGAAGATAAGAAGCTGATGAAGAGAGGTCCAAGAAAGGACCTTGGTACAACCCCAGGAAATTCTAAATGATCATACTACAAGAACAAAAGAAAGAGGTAGAAACAGTTTAAATACAGTACATGAGTACAGGCCATTCTTTGAAGATTGAAACACAGATTAAAAACTAAACCATTGATTAAATTCTTAATCATAATGTGACAAGAAATTTCCCTATTCAGTTTGATAATTTTCAAGCTGCAAGAATGTTATAGTCTTTGAGAATGCCTTTATGAATACTGTAAAGCCACACTTAATATACAATTTTTAAGTGTCCTAAGGTAAACATTAGAAAACAACACTAAATGTAATCAAGAATTGGTCTATGCATGATGATATGGTCCTCTTTCATGTTTTTTCTTCAGTCTTACAGGCAAAAAAATAATAATCATGACATTCAAACCTTGAATTAGAGAGAAGAGAGCAGGAAAATAGGTAAAATAATGAAGACCACACTTACAGCACTTATGTTGGAGCGATGAAATAAGATATCATGTGTCCCCTGTAAGTTGAAACTCTCTTCTACCTTGGTGTAAGGGCAGGCTATGAGATGAACCAATGGGGTCACGTAGAGGAGGATGGAGAGACCAAGATCGACCTGTTTTTTTTATAGTGTGGTAAAGACAGTCAAAGTGTTAAACTAGAAGATTCACAAACACTAGTAAAACACAACGCAACAGAGAAAAATCAGCTGCAGTTTCTTCAAGGGTAGTGGTCGGATTCTAAATGTTTATATCCAGCACTGGGGGCTCACAATGATTAGGAAAAGGTAAATCTATAGCATGGACAAAATACAATTAACATTTTAAACACTAATGAATACTACGTGCTGAGAGGCAGCAATTGCACACAATACACACATCGCACACTAATGCACATAATGAATACGAAGTGGCTGATCGTCAAGTTTGACAGTCGACTCACGATTTGAGTTCTCAAATTATTCATCGGTAAGTTGAAAAAATGGTATTTTACTGCTAGTTGGGTGTCATCAATTGTCAGAGTAAAGTACCAATTTGAGTGAGATCAGTTGAGTTTTGTACAGTGGTGTTTGAAATGTCGAGAATCAATAGAACATCCAGGATAGTTGCAGCTATGCGTGGAAAATTTGTATGTCATCTTTTTACTATTTAATAATTTAGTCTTAGAAACAACATTGTTACTAGATCTAGAGTCTAGACTAATTATAACTTTTATAAGTTCACATTTCACAAGCACAAATTATTTAATTTTCCCTAATCAATGCAGTAAATCTATAATTTGTCCTAATGTATTGAGAGTTTCTAGTGGTTGATAAACTTTTTCGACCACCAGTTTAACCTGTTGATTTTTAACTTTGATTCAGGAGCTTTACATTACCACACAAATTTCAATGGACAGGACTGGAGTGAGGAGCTTCTTAAAAATACTTGAACTGTTTACTTACGGAATAAGCAGCCCGTTCTTTCATCCTCTGTTCTCGTTCCCGAGATTCCGTCACTCTAGCCGGTTCTACAATTTCTCCACTAGCTTCTCTTATTCGAACTCGTTTCTTGCTCATTTTGGAAGGTTTTGTTAGCTGACAAGACAGGAGACCTTTTGTCTAAGTAGACTTTGAAGTTGAGCATCAAAAATAGCGGCGAGCTGAGCTGAATTTGGCGACTGCTAGTTCGCGACCACTAAAAGGTCAATGTACGTTCGCGCTCCATATACGTGGTTAAAACCTAGATAAAGAATAGTGCGTACGGTTTACGCACAATAGTCCCATCAGTATACTTTTCTGCGGGTATAAGATACTGTACAAATACTGCTGTGGCTTTCGTCTCGCAACTAGAAGAAAGTTACCCTCCTCCCTACTTTTCGTTAAAAATCCTTTTTCTTAATTATTTACACCAGGTGATAGGGGAGATAGTGCATGAGAACCCCATATATGTCCAGCTCTGGAACACTCTTCTCAAAATTTGTCAGATTGATTTAAAGTTTGGGATAATTTCAGAATTTTTAGGAAATGATCACCGCCTTGGTGGTTAGTGGTCGCGGGGTAAGGGGAACTTCACCCCGCCCCCTCCCTACCTTACGCCGACATTTCGGTTTCTTAGTTATTTACACCAGGAGATAGCGGAGATTGTGCACAAGAACCCCATATGTGTCGAGTTCTGAAACACTCTTCTTAAAATTCGTCAGATTGATTCAAATTTCGGAATAATTTCAGAATTTTTAGGAAATGATCACCACCTCGGTGGTTAGTGGTCGCGGGGTAGGGGAAACTTCACCCCCTCCCTACCTTACGCCGACATTTCTGTTTCTTAGTAATTAATACCAGAAGATAGGGCAGATGGTGCACAAGAACATTATGTCCAGCTCTGGAAAACTCTACTCAAAATTTGTCAGATTGGCCAGTTCGGGATAATTTCAGAAATTTCAGGAAATGGGTAGCGTCTTGTTGGTGGTTAGCGGTTGCGGGGTAGGGGGAACTTTCACCTCCCCCTACCTTACGCCGATATTTCTGTATCTTAGTTATTAACACCAGAAGATAGGGGAGATGGTGCACAAGAACCCCATATAATGTCCAGCTCTGGAACATTCTACTCAAAATTTGTCAGATTGGTTTAAAGTTCGGGATAATTTCAACATTTTCAGGAAATGATCACCGCCTTGGTGGTTAGTGGTCGCGGGGTAGGGGAAACTTCACCCCCTCCCTACCTTACGCCGACATTTCTGTTACTTAGTTATTACCACCAGAATATAGGGGAGATGGTGCACAAGAACATTATGTCCAGCTCTGGAACACTCTACTCAAAATTGGTCAATATTGGTTTAAAGTTCGGGATAATTTCAGAAATTTCAGGAAATGATCACCGCCTTGGTGGTGGTCGCGGGGTAGGGGAAACTTCACCCCTCCCTACCTTACGCCGACATTTCTGTTTCTTAGTTATTTACACCAGAAAATAGGGTAGATGGTGCACAAGAACCCCATATAATTTATGTCCAGCTCTGGAACACTCTACTCAAAATTTGTCAGATTGGTTTAAAGTTCGGGATAATTTGAGAAATTTCAGGAAATGGGTAGCGTCTTTTTGGTGGTTAGCGGTCGCGGGGTAGGGGGAACTTTCACCCCCCCCTCCCTACCTTACGCCAACATTTCGGTTTCTTAGTTATTTACACCAGGAGATAGCGGAGATTGTGCACAAGAACCCCATATGTGTCAAGTTCTGAAACACTCTTCTTAAAATTCGTCAGATTGATTCAAATTTTGGAATAATTTCAGAATTTTTAGGAAATGATCACCGCCTTGGTGGTTAATGGTCGCGGGGTAGGGGGAACTTTCACCCCCTCCCTACCTTACGCCGACATTTCTGTATCTTAGTTATTAACACCAGAAGATAGGGGAGATGGTGCACAAGAACCCCATTTTATCCAGCTCTGGAACACTCTACTCTAAATTTGTCAGATTGGTTTAAAGTTCGGGATAATTTCAACATTTTCAGGAAATGCGCCTTGGTGGTTAGTGGTCGCGGGGTAGGGGAAACTTCACCCCCCCCCCCCGCTCCCTGCCTTACGCCGACATTTCTGTTTCTTAGTTATTAACACCAGAAGAAAAGATAGATGGTGCACAAGAACCCCATATAATTATGTCCAGCTCTGGAACACTCTACTCAAAATTTGTCAAACTGGTTTAAAGTTCGGGATAATTTCAGAATTTCAGGAAATGATCACCGCCTTGGTGGTTAGTGGTCGCGGGGTAGGGGGAACTTCACCCCCTCCAGTGGCGTACCTGGGGTGTTCCGTCAGGGGGGGGCAAGCGATCGAACCAAAACAAAAAGGTGATGCTAATTTTCACTTCTGGCGAGCGAGCGGGCGAAAAAATATATTTAAGTAACGTTTGGTATATAAACCGGTATTGTTGCAAGTCGGGGGTGGGCATATTTTGTTAGCCACGTTGATTTCATTTTTGCAAGCGAGCGTAGCGAGCAAGAAAAAAAATCCCTTCTTTTTTAATATTTGCCACTTAAACTTGGTCCAATTGTCCCATGCCGGGTGCGGGAACAATATTGTGTTTAGGGTGATTTTATACCCATTTTAGCTAGCGAGCGAAAATACACCTTTCTCTTAATGAATTGCTATATAAAACTTGTTTCATTGTTGCAGGTCGGGGCGGGCACAATCGTGTGTAAGGCAATTTCAATCCCAATTTGGCGGGCAGGCAACCCCCCCCCCCCTACATTTCTCTTTATAATGATATTGTAACAGGTCAGTGGTGGGCCCATAATTCCACGAGCTAGCGAGCGAAAAATAACTTCTCTACGGTGAGAACATGGTACATAAACTTGATTTCATTGATCCATGGGACATCAGGGACATGATTATTTAAAGCGATGTTATTTCTGTTTAGGCAAGCGAGCGTAGCGAGTGAGCAAAATTTTTGTAATGATAATTGGTTCATAAATTTCAGGTTTTTTTGTTGCAGGTCAGGGCTTACACAATCATGTCTAAGGTGATGTTAATTCCGTTTTTTCGAGTGAGCACACCAAAACTTCTTTGAATAATGTTCGGTACATAATTATTAACTAGTAATGTTGTTGCAGGTTAGGGCGGGCACGTTAGCGATGTTAATTTCATTTTGGCGAGGCGAGCGTAGTGAGCAAGAATAAAAAAATCGCTTCTTTTTTTAATAATAATATTGCCAATTAAACTTGGTTCATTTGTCCTCAATGAATTACTACATAAACTTTGTATCATTGTTGCAGGTCGGGGGTGGGTACAATCGTGTTTAAGCCAATGTCAATCCCATTTTGGTGGGCAGGCAAAACAAAATTAATGATGATTGGTGCATAATTTTCAGGTTTTTTGTTGCAGGTCGGGGCTTACACAATCATGTTTAGGGTGATGTTAATTCCATATTGGCGTATTTAGGGAGCGTAGCTAGCGAGCAAACCAAATTTTCTTTGATTAACGTCTGGTACATAATTATCAACTGGTAATTTGTTGTAGGTTGGGGTGAGCATGTTTGTTAGCGATGTTCATTGTAAAGACAGCGTAGCAAGAGAGGGTAAAACAAAAAACAAATCAACTCATATATCAATCACTAAAATCAATCAATTCATCAATTCTGGCGAGCGAGGAAACAATATCTCTCAAAATAACGTTCGGTACTTTAATATTTACTGGGATTTTCGTTGCAGGCAAGGGAGCGCACATATTTTGGTAGGAATGTCAATTCCATTTTGGTGAGCGATCATACCGATGCAAAAAAAAAAATCAATTTTCTTTTAATAGAAATTAATACATAAACTTGGTTTTATTGGTGCAGGTCGGGATGGGCGCAATCGCGTTTAACACGATATCAATTCCTTTTTGGCGAGAGGGCGAAAAAACACTTCTATTTTTAATGATATTGTTGCAGGTCAAGGGTGGGCACAATTGTTTTCAAAGCAATGTCTATTTCATTTATTCGCGAGCGAGCGTAGCGAGCGAGAAAAAATGAATTAGTCTCTTTTAATAACATTTGGTACATAAACTGGGTGTTATGGTTGCCATGGTTGCAGGTCGGGGCCAGTCGGGGCAGACACAATTGTATTCTAGGCAACGCTAATCCTTTTCTTTTTTTCAGAGGGACGAGCAAGTGAAAACAATTAATACAAAGAAGGCTAGGAAGCAGCTCGCGCCAGCGAAGAGTGTCGAATTTGTTATATCACTTATATTTTCCTATTTTCATTTGTCTTTTTCTTTGCCGTATGCGGAATATTTTTCTGATGGGGGAGGGGGAAAGATGCATACAAAGTTTTTGAAGAAACCTAAAGCAAAATGAGTGAAGGGAGTTCGAGCAACCAAACTGGTCATGAGGGTACTTATGCATTTTTCAAAAGTAGAATTGAAGGATTTGGTATAGGCCTTCACTACTTGTGAGCTTTGTTAAATAATTTCAGGAAAAAAACTGTACGTTTTCAAAATATCTGGGGTCAACTGCCCCCCCCCCCCCGTGCGTACGGCCATGGTCTTTTTAAAAATAATTTTCCCATTTTGTTTCTTCCTTTTCTCTTTTTCTTCCTTTTTTTTCCTTTTCCTTTTTTCTCTTTCTTTTCTTTTTTTCTTTTTTTTTCTCTCCCTTTTTCCTTTTTTCTTTTTCTTTCCATTCCTTTCTTTTCTTTTCTTTCCCCTTTTTTTTCTCTTTCTCCTTTTTTTTCCTTTCCCCTTCCCCCTTTTCCTTTTTTCTCCTTTTTTCAGTCTGCCCCCCTTGCCCCCCCCCTCAGGTACGCCAGTGGCACTGTGCTTCTCTGTTGTTAATGACTTTAAAAGATATGCTGATAAACTACTTTTACTCCTTTGTTGAGGAGGAGGGTGGGTCCCCTAAACAAAAAAAAAGAGATGAAAACAAAAACGCGAGGTAGAAAGGAGTAGCCGGGAATCGAACCGAGTACATCTGCATTGTGAAGCGATCTCTCATCTACATGACCACTGTGCTTCACTGTTATTAACTTGTTTGGTTCAAGATGTTAACACTTTCTGGTGTTAATGACTTTAAAAAATATGATGATGAACTAATTTTACTCCTTTGTTGAGGAAGAGAGGGTGTCCCATTAACAACAAAAAAAGAGAAGGACAAATTAATATACAGAAAAAAATGATTAAAAAAAAACGAGGTAGAAAGGGAAAGCCGGGAATCGAACCGAGTACATCTGCATTGT